ACCTACCGATAGAGACCATGATAATGATACAGATAATACATGATGTGATGCAGGGCATAGGTCAAGCACAAAACAGATTTGACTGGTTGTGTGGAAGATGTGGCACAGATGAGGCAGAAGATAGTAAGGTAGATGAGGGTAAGAGAAAAGGAGAAAAGCAACAGAGGAGACTAGAAATTTATCCTGCAGTCAATTTGAATACTACACTTCCCCACAACGGGTGAGTGAACTTGGCAGCGTTCTTCCCCTGCATTGCTTCTCTCAGTCTGGGAGACAACTAAGGATGGGTTGCTAGTTGGTATTCCTACAATAGGAGAAACAGAAGATAGCATCGCCCATTTTCAGTGACTTTGAAATGATAGTCATTATAATTAATCATTTTTTTTTCAATGCCTGCATAATACGCCGACGCATTTTAAGCAGCTGCTGCTGGAGGGCCATGTTTTACTGGTGCTAGCTAGAAGTGGACCCTGCCAAATAACAGCCTTCTCTCAAGAGAAATTGTACAGAAGACTGTTAAGAAAAGGAATGAAGAATCATGTGCCATCTTAAGGATTTATTGTGGCATTTGTGGCTTGGGAGTGCTCCTGGATCTGGGCATCCTCCTGGTTGGCCAGATTAAGACTGGTGGCCATAGGCACATGTTATCCGCATTGGCTGATCCTGTGGTGCAGCACAACTTGACTACTCTTGTCTGCTGTACATGGGGCTATCCTTGAAGGCAGTTCAGAAACTTTTGCCTAAAGTGTAGCAAGCAGATGGCTATCTGGCTGTGGAGGACCACTGGGATCCACGTATTTCCAGGCCAGGTGGCTGTTATGATACCTGCTTCTTTAAAATGGCCATGATCAGTCTTGCCAAGACCTAGCCATGCCAAAGCTGGACCAGGATGCCACAGAGCACAGAAGGATATGTAAGTAGCATGGAGGTCTCCTACACGGAAGCTGGCAAAGCTCAAGAGGACAAGGAGTAGGCTTTAATATTGATGATGATGGTGGTGGTGTTTATTATCTGCCTTCATCAGTAGATACCAGGGCAAGATATCACGCTATTTTAGGCAGCTTTTGTTTTGCCTCAAAGAATCCTGGGAACTATTGTTTGTTAAGAGTGCTGAGAGTGTTTAAGAGGTCCTTATTCATCTCAGAGCTACAATTCCCAAAGTTCCCTGGCAAGGGAGATTGATTGTTAAATCACTCTGGGAATTGTAGATCTGTGAGAGAAATTGGAATCCCCTAAATATGGCATAGGAGCCAAGGGACACGACACGACACACCCAGAGGAATATAGGAGTCAATAGGCAAAGCATGACAGCCTTACATGAACATTGGTGTCAGTGGGCATGGTAAGACACACCCAGAGGTGTGCGTTGTATGACTGAGTTGGGATTTGAACCCTGTTCTCCTTAGGCCCAGTCAAGCAGTCTTAACTACAGCACCACCCATTTTGATGATCAAGAAGAAATCATAAACCCAAACTTGCATGCCCTAGTTTTTACGTGTGTGTGTGTGTGTAGGCCAGGTCCGGAATCAGAAAAGGTGGGAATATGGAAAGGTACAAAATTATCGGGCTGAAGAATCAGACTTCAGTTTCAAACCATACAATGTACAAAAGGCAATTTGCTTTAAGGCTTGTCTTGCAAGGCAGTTATTCTTATTCTTGCTCATAAGTAAGTCCCTACTGCATTCAGTGGGACTTACTCCTAAGTAAATGGTGTTATGGATTGCAGCTTGGTTAGCTGGAGTGGGGCTATTAAAAACATATTTAGAGAGGCAGATGATTAGGGGAGCTATGACATCTACTTAGGAGTAAACCCAAGGGAACACTGTAGCAGCATGGCTTCTGAGTAAGCTGGGAAGGGAAGCAAAGAGAAGGGAGGGAGGGGAAAGAAAGGAGAGAGAGAGAGAGAGAGAGAGAGAGAGAGAGAGAGAGAGAGAGAAGAATAAGAATAAATTACTTTGAACCCGATCCAATTCATGTTTACTCAGAAGTCAATCCTATCCAGTTTACTTCAAAGCAAAACCTGCATATGATTTGCAGTTTGTTTCACCTTGACTTTTTGCATTCTTCATGTGGCAAATAATATATACAAAATATTTAAAAAATAAACTTTCAAGGACAACATACTGGCAACTCCCCCGCCCCCCAAAAAGATGGGCATGATCCTGTTAAAATTAACTAAAACTAACTAAAATAGAGTGTTTTGTGATGACTTCACATTGGGCACACACCTCAAGACAATTTTAAAAATCAAAGCTGATCAGGTGATTTTCATAAATGGTGAGAACTGGCCAAGCACACCAGTCAGTGATTATAAATCCCACCCCTATTTTTGTACTTGTCCAGAGGGGTGGAATATGGAACCTATGGACCCAGGGACATTCAGTGATGATTACCTGAAGTGGACATTGGCAGCAGGGTATCATGTAACAGGAGTTCTATATGAATGAGCTCTGTATATTGCCAGTGTTTTGGAGCTAAATTTCAAGTGCTGGTTCCCTTTTTAATTATAAATGTCTTAAACATACCTGCACCAAACCACATATAAAAACAAGGAGTGATATCCAATGTTATTCCCCAAACCTCTCTAACAGATTTGGTAGATGAGAGTTCAGAGGGCAGGGCAGGAAGGTCAAGTCCCATTTCACAAGTGGATAGACACAACTAGGCATCAAACTAAAAAACCTTCATGGATTATTATAAATACACAACCCCCATCTTTTCCTTACCATTGGCTGTGGCTGATGGGAGTTGTAGTCCAACAACATCTAGAGGGCACCATGTTGCATGACTCCTGATCTATACAGTGGTACCTCGGGTTAAGTACTTAATTCATTCTGGAGGTCCGTTCTTAACCTGAAACTGTTCTTAACCTGAGGTACCACTGCCGCAGGAGCACAATTTCGGTTCTCATCCTGAAGCAAAGTTCTTAACCCGAGGTACTATTTCTGGGTTAGTGGAGTCTGTAACCTGAAGCGTATGTAACCTGAAGCGTATGTAACCCGAGGTACCACTGTACTGTAATTATAAATCTATCTTATGTACAGGGCTTTTCTTTCAGTCAGAACTCACCTGAACTCAGTTCCAACACCTCTCAGGCAGCTGCCATTGCCATTCTAAGAGAATAAGGGAGGTGTTCATGGTGTTTCCTAGAAAAATAACATTGGTGTGTATAATATCTATACCTTGAATATGTAACTTTATAATAGTTTGGGATTCCTTCTGCTGGTGCCTAGAGCTTCTTCAGACTCAGAAGGATGGCAAGAGGAGAAATGGCAATTCAAAGCTGTTGAAACTGACAGGAACTCTCTGCCCCACCAAAAAGACGAGAAAATGCTACTATGAAATCCAGTTCCTTGAATTTGAGGATTTGCAGGTTTTACTTAAAATATTTTGCAATGTTGATATGTGGAACTGGTTTACAAACATGGAAGTAAATTTCTTTAAGGATAAAAAGAAAGTAAATCGGGTGAGATAGGAATGCAAAGACAAAAGTGTATACCTGAGAAAGCCAGGGAGTGGGAGGGGGGAAGTCGAGGCTCCGGATGAGCAAAGATGGGAGTGATGTTTTGATTACGTTGACATGTGACAAAGTATAAAATGAAAAACCTAATAATTTTTTTTATTTTTTTAAAAGCGGGGACATCAACACTATGTTTTTGCAGCTGTACGGTTCCTAAGCCTTGGAGGACGCCTGTATTTTAGACTGAAAGGAAGCAACTACATTTCCAGGAAGGTGTTTCCCTATGGCATGCCAGCTTTTCAACATGTGTGACCTTGTTAACTGCCACATTAGTTTATGTACCTTATAGCCACACTACCAATTAGTAAGAGGACTCTGCAACCTCTTGCTGCTACCTAGTGGTCACAAATAAAAATGCTAACATTACACCTTTGTTTCTTAAGTGTTGAATATGCACGGGATCTACAACCCATTCAGGATCCCAGCTATCTCATTCCATTGCTTTCTTTACCACCCTCCATTCCTATTCCTTCCCAAGTCAGTCAGCATTCTGTTGTGACTAAGCATGCTTAGTCCTCGTTGAGCTGTGCTTCTTTTTGGGGGGAGGGCTGGGGTTAACCTCCAATGTTTTATTTTATTTTATTTTTTGAAACCTTGCAAATCTCAGGGCTCCTCAAGTCTGGTGTTACCTCGTTCTTGGACACAGGTGGTGCCATTTTGGCTGCTTAAGCAAACTTAATTCTTGGGAAAATGAGGTTGCTATTAGTGTTTGCAGTGATGCTAACCATTGTCTGGTCATTACACAAGAAATTCTGCCTGCAACTTCAATGACTTTTGATGAGTGAGATAGCAGGCAGGAGCAGTGCCTCCTCATTCAGCCATGAAGCTATTTGTCTGATCTTGGGACAGTCACTGCCTCCCAGCCTAATCTACCTTGGATTCTTGTAAGAAAAAAATGGGGAGAGGGGAGAACCCACCTTGAGCTCCTCGGAGGAAAGGCAGGATATTAATGTAATTATAATGAAAATAGTACTTAAATGGTCCATTTGCCATGTTATTCTGCTGTCTGTTGCAGCAAGCAGGACATATACTGCATCCCTCTGTCCTGGGGGTGAAGGGCAGTGAGTGTTTGAGCTCTGCCCATTGATACAACCATGCTGTATATTGTCTTAAGGTCCTGGAACTACTTTGGTTGCCAGGATGCAATCCAGGAAACACATATGGGACCTTGGGTAGCTTCCAATCCATCAGGAGACAATATATAGTGGCTGCCCACACCTGACTTTCTCCCAGACACACTTGTCATAATAAACAGGAATCCGGGGGTGCCATGCACAGGCAGGGACAGACAGTAGGACCATGGTTACAGTGGCCAGAAGAAGCCATAGCAGCCTTGTCTCCCACTGCACTGGGGGATTAAAAAGGTAAATGGATGTTCTGTGGGTTGCAACCTGGTAGGTCTAAAAGAGCCTTCAAGATTTGGACCTGGGAATCTTACAAGCATTGGACATTGAACCGAATGCATAAAACACAGAAGGTTACTGAGCAAAATTAATTTATTAAATGGAATCAGAGCCTTTGCCTTGCACATGATCAGTAGTTGCACATAGATGAAAATTGCTTAGAAATCTTTATTTTTTTTAGCAAAGACGAACCCATCAATTCTTGACCTAAAAGCTAACAACAAATAAATCTGAATATGTTGTTTGGTTCCTGTACATTGTGAGAACATAGGGAAATAATCTTTTCCCCCCATCAGCAAATAAATAAACAGGTCTCTCTGAAGCATGAATCCCGTCAGCAGAAGCAGGAAATGGAGTACCTTGGATTTAACTTGAATTCCTATGGATTCAGAATATGCAAACATTAAGCTAGGCAGAAGTGGGGATCCTGTGGCCATTCAGATGCAGCTCCCATCCATCCTTGATCATGCTGGCTGGGGCTGATGGGAGATGGAGGCCAACAATGGTTGGAGGGCAATAGACTCTTCCTAATTACAGAACTGAGAGAGAATTATGTAATTCATAAGAGACCACTTCAGGAAAACAGGTATCTTGGCTACTATAGCAACACACCACCAATTCTGAGTCCAATTACTGCAAAGAATCAACAGACACTGCCCTCTCTTTAATCTCCAGAATGGGGGACATATTACAAATTAGGCAACTGCAAGCATCCATCAGTTTTAAATTCAGTTTTTTTCAACAACTGACATCAGAAAAAGCATTGTAAGCTTGGTTAGTTGCATAGGTGCCCAAGGTAATTTGGGAGGGGGGGGAGGTGCGCCAGCATTAAATTGAATTAGATAAATGGGCTCTCATTTAGAGCACCATACAACCAGAAGTTGAAAATATTTTTTTTCCTAACAAGCAGAATTCTAGATACGTTCTAACACCTAGACATTAATTCATATTTAGTTAAGCCTAGTTTAAAATTATTAATGCTTCACCCAAGCATTCACAATTCAGTTAAGTGTAGTCTCATCACCATTATTACTAGATAGTGCCCCCACAAAATTAATTACTTTTATCTAGCTAAGTTAAATGTGAGGGAACCACGTTGCTTAACTGTTGGGAGACTTGCATACGGACCCTGAGGCTATTTACTCACAAATATTCCCATTGATTTACACATGCAGCTGCATCACGTGATACAATTTTCCCCCCCTACTTTGGTCTGCAAGTGATGAATCGTGTACCTGAAAGCTCCTGTATGGTGGGGAATAATTGTATTTGTACATATGGAATTGGTCTCACAGGGCAAAGACTTGCAAAGCGGAATTCTTCCTCAAATCTTAGCTTTCTATATGCAGAAAGGGTTTCCTCCCCCCATGGGAACACATTCAAAATGTACCCCCCCCTTGCAATCTGAGATGGGCCAATCCAGCAAAGACAGCATGATCTGATTCTGCAGGATATGTAGATCAGCTCTTACTATGACAGTCAGTATGTTTTAGGATTACTGCCTTAGTACTGGATGGCGAGTACCTTGGTGGCTTCCTAAAAGGCATGTGACATTCTGCGCTCCGGTGCAACTATGTACTTCCTATCGTCCTAGATCACCCAGCACAGCACCCACACTGGAAGAAATCAGCTACCACCGACAGCATTCAAATCTATAGAATTTGCATAGACAGAACATGTGGGAGGGCAGCACTGGAACTTGTTCCACCTAGGGCAGCATCCAAGAGCAGTTCATTGAGCTTTCGGGTCTTCATCTTTTACACCGGCTTGTTGTCTTCTTTATGTCTCTCAGACGCCTGCTTCCTTATCATATTCTGAACCTAAGGAAGCAGCGAAAACCAAAAACAAATCCAGAGAGCATCAGTCAGTGTATTAGCTACTTGCTGCATGCTAATGATTTTTTAATTAAAAATATACATCTTTAACCCCAATCCTCAATTGACGGCCAAACCAGATGTGAATGAAAACAAATGCCCATGTTTGTTATGTGCATAATAACTGCTGGGGGGAGCCTTGGCCATTTAAATCTCTGGGAAATTTAACTTGCTCTTTCTCTCTGTCGCAGTCCAGACAAGATTCACCTCTCCAAACCTAAGCACAACACGAGGGGAGCTGGTGGCGGAGGTGGTTCTGCATAGTATATTTAGATACTGCCATCTTCCGTGGAAGTTTCACCAAGCTTGCAGGATCACCTGTGTGTTGTCTACACTGAATGGTGGCAGCTCTGCAGGAACTGAGGCAGGAATTTCTCCCAGCCCTACCAGGAGATGCTGGGGATTGAACCCGAGACCATCTGCATGCAAAGTAGATGCTCTGCTACTGAGCTGCCCATCTTCCCAAAAGAGGAAGTCATCTCTTCTTTAAACTGAGGAGCATCTGGTAGGTCTTCTATAGCATCTTCCACCCCCCAGTGCCTTTTCCTTCCAGAACACAATTTTGTACTTATAAGCACTAGGGTGTTATGGCTCTCATTTTCTGTAACTGCCCGCTCTCTTTTCCCCGCCTCAAGCAAGAAAAATATATTTCTCAGCTCCAATGCCCCTTTTCTGCTTCTTCAGAGAAGCATAACAGTCAAGCAGTGTGTGCCTTGCAGGGACGACATACCTGTCTCAACATGAATTCTAATGGCCTCTCAGGCTTCTCATACACCAGATTTTCAGTGATCTCCTGAGTGAGAAAGACAGAAGTCATTATACTCCTTTCCCGAAGGCAAACAATGAAAAGATACAAAATTATATTGCCAGAGGCAAGAATGGCTTGTCTTCTTTTCAGGATGGGAAAGGTATGGGATATACATAATATGTATTATTTACAAATACAGACATGATGTGTCATTTCATCTTTCCTGAAAAATGTCTACTGTACAGCAAAATCCCAGGTGCTCTAACACATATGCTCGATAACCTGAAATGTTCACACACTCCCACATTAACAGATTGGAGAACTAAGCTCAAACCAGCAAAATGAAACTCAGTTGGGACAAATGTAAGATTCTGCACTTAGGCAAGAACAACCAGCTGCACCAATATAAGATGGGGAACACATGGCTTGCCAGTAGTACATGTAAAAAAAGATCTAGGGGTCTTAGTGGACCACAAGCTTAACATGAGTCAGCAGTATGATGCAGCAGCAAAAAAAATAAAATAAAAAAGCTAATACTATTCTAGCCTGTATCAACAGACCTATAGTGCCCAAATCAAGGGAACTAATAGTCCCGCTCTATTCTGCCTTGGTCAGACTACACCTGGAGTACAGTGTTGAGTTCCGGGCGCCACAGTTCTGGGCTCCTCTTCTGGTAAAGAGGAGACTGAGAGGAGATATAATAGGCATCTTCAACTATCTAAAGGGCTGCCACATGGAAGATGGAGTAAACTTGTTTTCTCCTGCTCCAGACGGTAGGAGTTGAACCAATGGATTCAAATTGTAAGAAAAGAGATTCCAACTAAACATCAGAAAAACTTTCTGACAGTAAGAGCTGTTTGGCAGTGAAACAGACTCCCTTGGGAGATGGTAGACATTCCTGCAATGGAGGTTTTTAAGCAAAGGTTGGATGGCCATCTGTCATGGATGCTTTAGCTGAGATTCCTGCATTACAGGGGGTTGGACTCGATGACCCTGGAGGTCCCTTCTAACTCTACAATTCTATGATTCTATGAAAACTGCAAGTTGCAAGTTACAAAGTGCATCTATTACAGGCCCAATATAGGATTTGTTTATTGAGCAATTTATTTATTTAGATAGATAGATAGATGATAGATAGATAGATAGATAAAATAACACAGTATTTAGAAATCTACACGATTCATTGCAGATTATTTCAAATTTCAACTGCTTTCCTCAATTGCACAATTGTTTAAGTAGATGAATATTTTAAAAAGCAATATATCAAGCAATAATGGTAAGCACATTGCACTTGGAAGTTGAAATATATTAATATATAACTAACTGCCTGTAATTATCTATTAAGTTATTTTTATCCTGCGTGTTCAACTCCAAGGGTCCCCAGAGTGACTTACAACTTTAGAAAAACAACCATCAATCAAACAGACCAGATATAACCATCATAGCAACAGCATAAAAACAATAACCCAAAGTCACAAGGGCCAAAAACCCCAAACCCAGTGCTATGGGTTGTATCCAATATCAGTCATACTCATAGTAGACCTGCTGAAATTAATGGGCATGACTAACTTAAGTGCCTTCATTCCAGTGGGTCTATTCCAAGTAGAGCCTATCTGGATACAGTACACAGTCACTGAGCTGGTTTGGATCAGCTTTTCTGACATGGTTTATGAATCTGGGAAAATATGCCCTAGACCAGTTCAGTGATTATTAATGGCACTGTCCTGTGGTTTCTTCCTCCTTTCCTTTCCCTGCTCTTGTCACTATTTTCCAAAGTGCCAGGCTCGCACATTCCTCCTCTGTTGGCGCTTCATTGGTGGCTTATATTAAACCAGAGTCCCCTGTTATGTCTGAACTTGGATTTATACTGAGTGAACTAACCAAGATCACAGGCCCATAAGCAAAAATAATTCTGGTGTATGCAAACTCTGAGCCTTTCAAAATGATTCATCAAGGAGCCCGTATGCAACAGAAATGGGTGGAGAGATGCCATTCTTGGCAGGCGTAATGATGGACACTTTTGACTGATTTGTGTCCAATGGTGCAGATACCACAGCTGAAGTGAACTGGGCATCTTTCTCATTTTTATTTTTTGTATTTAAAATTTATTTTCAAGGATAGCGTTTTAAAAAGGGGGTTATGGACAATGTTTTGGACAATAAATTACCAACTTACGAAATACGGTAGTTGGATTTTCTAAACCATTTGATGACATTAAAAATTGATAATGCTGTTTTGTTTTGAAAGGGAAAGTTGGAGAACAGGAATATGAATTTCTTCAAAGAAAACTATGCTGAGAACAACTACATTTCAAAAATATATTTCAGTTTTCACAAATGTGCATGCTTTGCTTTTGAGAACAGAGTATCTTTAACTTGCATTACTCCTCTTTTTCCATTTGGTTCTTTTCATTGCAGGCCAACACTTCAGGCATTTTATTCTGAAAAGGCTTGTTTAGGTTTTGGTTTGCTGCCATCTAGGATTATTGCAATGCCTGGCATAGTTGTGTTTGGGGCTTTTTTTTGCTTTTTGGATTATTATTTTCTGTGTTTTATCATTTGTATTATTGTATGTTGTAATGTGGGTCTTCTATGCCTTGTATCATTGTATGTTACCTTTGGGTTGCTCTCAGGAAAGTCAACCAAGAATTTAAAAATAAAGAAACGTTGAATTAGATTTTGTACAATTGATACTGTTGTATTTCTTTGTGATGCAACTAATCCAGTTATTGTACTTGGCATACTGTTTTGCACTGATGTACAGAATGGTTTCTAGGTCAATCTCTTCATTTTTCTTTTCTTTTTAAATTAAAAAACAACAACCACAACTGCATTTAAAAGCAACAGCACTAGGACTACTAAACCACCAAAATAGGAAGGAAAAGGGAGAGAGAGAGAGAGAGAGAGAGAGAGAGAGAGAGAGAGAGAGAGATGCCCCTGTACAGAGAAGTATAGGGGAAAATGTGCACTCATGCAACAAGGTAGACTTTCTATTCTTTTCTGAGCGGCAGCAACCCCCTGTCTCACCACTGGAATGTGTTCCATTCCTATAAATTTTAAAAGTATCTTCCTATATGAATTCACAGGGACCGATTTGTAAGATTCACTCTGTGTGTGTATGTGTGTGTGTGTGTGTGTGTGTGATGCAGTACAGCAGGCTGAGAACACATGGCCCTCCAGATGATGCTCATCTCCAAGTCCCATCAGCCCTGGCTAGCATGGCCAATGGTCCAGGATGATGGGAGTTGTAACCAAGCAACATCCTGAGGGCCATAGTTTCCCCACCCCTGCAGCAGAACGTGATACAGCAACTAGGAATGCAACACCACCAATATTCCAGGTCCCACTGGAAGGAAACCACAAATGGCGAGGTCAAGAACAGCCAAGAGGTTGCTGGGCTACTACTCCCATCATCCCTGACCATTAGCCATGCTGGCTGGAGATGATCGTGGCTGGAGTCCAACAACAGCTGAAGGGCTAGATCTGTGTTTCCCAAACACTGGTGTCCAGCTGCTTTCAGACTACAGTTCCCATCATCCCTGACCACTGGTCTTGCTAGGTAGGGATGGTGGGAGTTGTAGTCCAAAAACAGCTGGATACCCAAGTTTGGGAAACATTGAGCTAGATGCTCCATCACTGTATTCCTAAAGGCAGATGTCCTAAAGACAAGGAATAGATCTCAGAGATCTTGAGAGGGACACTATGTGAAGGGGACACTATGTGAAGCTTGTAATCTCTTGAGAAAGCCCAGTTAGGCATCTATGGGACAAAAGCCTTCCACAATCATTCTTGTGGCTGGAATGGAATATAATGCAGAGTACTCTCAAAAGAGGATATGGGCTAGTAAGGTAAAGGTAAAGAGACCCCTGACCATTAGGTCCAGTCGTGGCCGACTCTGGGGTTGGGGCATTCATCTGGCTTTATTGGCCAAGGGAGCCGGTGTATAGCTTCCGGGTCATGTGGCCAGCATGACTAAGCCACTTCTGGCGAACCAGAGCAGCGCACAGAAACACTGTTTACCTTCCCACTGGAGCGGTACCTATTTATCTACTTGCACTTTGATGTGCTTTTGAACTGCTAGGTTGGCAGGAGCAGGGACACGGAGCACGGCGGTTCGAATCCCTGTGACGGGATTCGAACCGCCGACCTTCTGATTGGCAAGTCCTAGGTTCTGTGGTTTAACCCACAGTGCCACCCACGTCCCAGGGCTAGTAATGTCCCCCAAATGCTAAGAGATTCCCTCAAACCACTGTGTATAAAGGCACTGGCTGGGTTGGTTCAGAACAGCCACTGTGCACGCTTTTGCCTAAGTGAAGGCAGCTTTGACAGAAAAGGCAAAAAGGGAGTGGTTCACCTGAAATATCTGCAGAATATTATGCTTCTCCATGTACCTAAGTGAAACTTCAAAGGGATCTTGATACACAACAGGCATCTCCTCGGAGAAGTCCACAGAAGGAACAAATGTTGGGGGAGGCTGCTCTTCTATTATTGGAGGTTCCACTTGTTGAGGCACCATTTCCTGAGACGGTACTTGTTGGGGCGCCAATTCTTCAGAGATCACGATGCCTTCTGCCGATCTGACCAAACCATGTGGAAACACAATTCCTCTCTTATGTTGCTGAGTGAGTATAGAGCCAAGACCTTCCAAAGAGGAAACAGGATGAAATGCTGGGCGGGTTGGTTCTGGTGTCTCCTCCGTGGCAATTTCTGGTGCCTTGCTCATGTCAGATTCTGCTGCTATCTCCGCGATAGGCTCAGGTGCTTCCTCTACGATAGGTTTTGGTGCTTCCTCCATGATAGGTTCTTGTGTCTCATCCATGGACAATACCACTTCAAGAATTTGGGGTTTTCTCTTTTGTGGTTCAGCAATAGATTCTGGTGATTCAGGGTGCTCCTGCCCCTCAGTAATCAGAACTCTTTCTGGCTGTAGCTACAATACATAACAAGCAAGAAGTTACCATGCAGAAAAGAGGCACATGCATAGTTCTTGCACTCTGTAGGCCTTAGACGTAATCCTACCCTTGGGCAAAAAATAAAAAATAAAAAATAAAAAAAAATGTGGAGAGTTGTGGGACTGAGGTTAATCCTTTCCCTTGCCAATAAGCACAGCTGCCAAACTGCCACACACAACATTTGGCCAGTGTGTGAAGGGGCTCCACACATGAACTGCTGTACACACATAAAGTCCCTTCACATGAAAGCCAAATATATGGACAGCTGAAGGAGAAAGGCCAGCATTGATGATGCCAGCAGTGCCCTTCAACACTCTATATTGGACAAACAGGCCAAACCCTACACCAAAGGTTAAAAGGACATAAATCTGACATCAGGAATCATAAGACAGAGAAGCCAGTAGGAGAACACTTCAGTCTCCCAAGACATTCAATACAGGATCTCAAAGCAGCTGTCTTACTACAAAAGAATTTCAGAAATAGACTTGAAAGAGAAGTTGCTGAATTACAACTTATCACTAAACTGAAAACTATGGAGAGACCTGGTCTTAATAGAGATATTGGATTCCTGTCTCATTACATATGCTAAACATCTGCATGCTATCCCTTGCTTTTTCCTGTAGGACTAATTGCAGTCGTTAACAGTCGTCAACTACCAGCATGAGTTTGACCAACGGCAGTGGAAGACAGGAGTGCCTGGCGTGCTCTGGTCCATTGGGTCACGAAGAGTCGGACACAACTAAATGACTAAACAACAACAACAACAACAACAACAGGTTTTCCACACCCATTGAGTCAATTACCCATCTCCTACTACCCTCCTGAGAAAAACCCCACCCCACCCTCCCACGATATATAAGGGTCTGGTGACTTCTGTTTCAGTGTATCTGAAGAAGTGTGCATGCACATGAAAGCTTATACCAAGAACAAACTTAGTTGGTCTCTAAGGTACTACTGGATTTTCTTCTTCTTTTTTATATATATTTCAACTGCATCAGACGAACACGGCTACCTACCTGAATCTGTATCTCTTAAGATTTTGTGTTGCTATGCTCAATGCAACATATTCAAGGGTTGTTTCCAGCACACCCAGATAGGTACCTGTTGCTTTAAACATTGGAAGACAAAGGTGGTCTCTGCTAGCAGAAAGGGGTGTGTATGTGGCATTTTAGTGTCAGGGGTTCACAATACTGGGGAACTACAGAGTTGGAGCAAGCTGATAGGAGCAGGTGAGGTGTGAAAGGTTGGAACAGGCTGAGAGACAAAACTGTAGGTTTGTGTGTTCATTTTTGGAATAGCACAAACCTGTCTCCCAGTTTATTAGTTCTTAGTTTTTTATCACTAAGAACCTGTCACAGAGCACAATAAAAAAGGCAGAGACAGTAAAGCTACAAGATGAAAGACAGAAGATCCTTGTTGGCTGTCAAGCATAGAGTACGGCAATCGACTTTCATCAGTTTGGAAAGAGGCATGCTGGATCCAAATACCCAAGGTAAGAAATACTGGAGACCCTTTATCAGTCATTCAATGGCCCTGGGAAAATACGTTTACGGAGCAATCCTATGCATGTCTATTCAGAAGTAATTCCCTCTGTAGTTTCCATTGGGCCAATGTGCATAAGATTGCAGCCCAAATGCACAGGAGCTAACCCTGCACAGACCGGGGGGGGGGGACATTTCAAAGTCCTAAATGACAGCATCAAATGACAACACTTCCTCTTCTATTATCAGTTAAATATCTGACATGTGGCCCTTTTAAGAGAAAATACTATGATGCAGGAAGCCAGCTCTTACAGAGCTGACTCAGAGGTGTGGCTCGGCTGGAGGAGTTACTTACTACTCTGCGCAGTCTCCCAGACTTCAATGGAAATAACTCATAACGCTTATAGTGTGTTCACACATGAACAACAAAGACAAAACAAGGGAGAGAAGTACATAAATGCATCTTAACTCAAGTGCACATACATGTAAATATACAGATACTTGCTCAAAACATTAACATTGCACTGAATTATATCCATCCTCATCCCAGCTACTCCAGTTAATACCTTATTCAGTGCTGAAGCTTGCTGGATCACTGCGGGTGAGCAGCTCTCTCTTATAGCCTAACCTACTTCACACTTTTTCTCAACAAACCTCTTATCTTCTCCACAGCTGGGGGAAAGGGTGACATGCATCCCAAGCTCCAGCAAAGGCAGGTAAAATGAATTAAAGAAACAAACACTGGGCAACTAAATCCACTGTGAGATTAAGCATTCTATTAACAGCGTGCTTTAAATCATGTACAGCGGTCTTCTTTTCAGTCTAACATTTCCTGCCTTTTTAACGCTGCAGTCCTATGTGCATTTGCCCGGGGAGCTAGCTCTGCGGACCTTTGCAGGTCTTACTTTTGAGTAAATGCAACTTGCTCTGTAAGATTTAGTGGCTGGAGAGAGCCACACTGTCAACAGAAAGTTAGCCAACACATGAGGTCCAAAACAGTAAAGGGCTGTTAAGAGCGACAATCCAGCATACAACCGCCAGTGGGCAAAAAAGAGCCCATGAGGGAGGGAGGGGACTCTACGCCCTCCCCAAACGTTGTTGGGACTACAATTCCTATCAGCCCCTGTCAGAATGACCAGCGCTCAGGGATGATCGGTTCTGTAGTCCCTCAACATCTGGAGGACCAGCCTTGGAGATGGAAGGAGGGGTTGGAAAGCGACCCCTTCCCCAACATTTCACCTGTGAAATATTGATAAGTTATTGGGGTGGGGAGGCTACTGCAGACCCCCTGAGCAGGTGTGGATGGGGGCCACCCAAGAGGCGAGTGTGTCTGAATACTGGACAGCGGAGAAAGGCGGCTTTGCCAGTGTTACGCTCCCTGTAAGCAAAGCAGCCCAGGCAATTTTGTAAACGGAGCACGTTCATCCATCCACCGGTCACATTTGGGGAGGGGGCCTCTCCAGGCTGCTCCCGTTTCCCTTCCTCCCGCGCTTCCGGCTGCCGCCCTCACCTGCCCCTCCTGCGAGCCCTGCTCCTGCTCCGGCCCTCGCTCTGCCATCTTGGAGCCAAGGCGCGTCGCATCCTTTGCTGCCCGGCGCGCTCCGTGCGCTCCTTACGCGTTCTGTCCCCTGCGGGCAGCGGAGGGAGCGCCGTAGCTACCATGGCAACCGTCCCAAGCGCTGCTCTCGCCCCTCCCCTCCCCTCGGCCTTTCGGTTGCGCGCTCGTTCCGGCCAATGGGAGAGCGCGCGAGCGCGTAAGGGAGGCGCGGGCATTCCGAGCGGGCCAGCGGATTGGCGTCCGGGCAGTTGGTACCCAGAGTGGCCATATTTTTTGAGGGTGGAAGTGCGCTCGCTGCCCTGGCAGACTGGGAGTTAGTTCGTCTCTGAAACTTTACCCATTTTCGATCATCCTCCAAGCACTGCCCTCCCGCTTCATCCTAGAATTGTAGAATTGGAAGAGACCGCCCATGGTCACCTAGTCCAACCCTCTGCAATGCAGGAATGCTAAAAATACAGTGGTACCTCGGGTTACATACGCTTCAGGTTACATACGCTTTAGGTTACATACTCCGCTAACCCAGAAATCGTGCTTCAGGTTAAGAACTTTGCTTCAGGATGAGAACAGAAATCGTGCTCTGGCAGCGCGGCGGCAGCAGGAGGCCCCGTTAGCTAAAGTGGTGCTTCAGGTTAAGAACAGTTTCAGGTTAAGAACGGACCTCCGGAACGAATTAAGTACTTAATCCGAGGTACCACTGTAATAGCTGGGGAGGACAGAGCAAAATAGAAAGGGGTCTCTCTCCCCCCCCCCCCCACGTTCCCTTGTAATTTGAGCACTTGCTATTAACTTTTTAAATTTGTCCGTTAGCCAAGTAAAAACAGTATATCAGTTTATTTTGTCGAGGGGCATTTGCTAATGTTCTAAAAGCATCTTCGCCAACCTGGTGCCTGCCAAATATTTTGGACTGAAACTCCCATCATTAGCCCCAGTCACCAAAAACATAAACCCGTCTTCTAAATTACTGCTTATGGTAGCAGCCATTTTAAGAAATATAATTTTGGCTTAAGGTTTTCTGCAGAAAATGATGTGGGCATATGCTTTGCAGCTACATAGGGAACATGGGAAGCTGTGCCATACCAGATCGGACTGTGTGATGCAGTGATGCCTACAAAACACCTTTCCCCAGCCTGGTGCCCTTCCCAACAGCTGTCTTGAGACCCAAACATTGGGGGGAGGGGGCGGCACCAGGTTCATGAATGCTGTGTTCTAAAACATTATTTTGCAATTATTATGAACCAAAGACACAAAATAGAGGACAAAATACCAAAGAGTTGGTATTTCAAGCAGCTGGCAATCCAGCACAGCATATAGGGGACAAAGTAGTAGCGCTCAGGATGGTACCATGTTTACCTATGGAGATGGGGTAACCTGCAACAGGTCTGTATAACTATTAAATGGTATCCTATTGTTACTCTCCCAACAGTAAAATCTCACTGTTGGTACCAGGAGAGAGTGAAATTTAAGTTGGAAGGCACAATTTTCAACTCTTTTTTAAAAAAAATATATACATAGCTACAGGAATAGAGTACTTAATCAGCTGTTACAATGCACAGTAATTCAGGGTTTTAGCAACAGCCCCAGAGTCAAGGGTTTTGTTGCAGGCTACTGAATGGCAAGGTCCAGTTGCCCGATCCCCTTACAATTCAATCCCAGTCTGTGGAGAACAAGAGTGGGAAAGGGTTATTCCCCTGTTGTCTTGCTTGTCAACATCTGGTTGGTTGCTGTGGGAAACACAGTGCTGGGGACAACACTGACCTTTGTCCTGATTCAGCAGAACTCTTGTTAATTCTATAAAATTTAGCCAACGTTAAGACAAGGCTGATAGGAAATGTCAGTAGCCGGAACCTGTGAAAAGAGTTTAGGCTTCAGAAAAGACCAAGTTAATCAAATGATTTCTAAATTAAAAAGGAGGAAAGGCTGGGGGTATCAGAAAGGAAACACAAATTAGTTTTTCTAGTTGCACATTTCCTAAACCTACTCCTTACGTATACTGTAATCTCAACCAATCTCAAAATTTCTGGGTGTGTAACATGCAGTTGTCCCTTGCTTGCATTTTATGCTGCAGTAAATTTGTTAGTAGTGTTATGCTACAAGCCTTTTTTGTAGCTAAAGCCTGGGAAGAAACCCATACTTGAGCTATTTTATTTATTAAACTAATATATTTCTTTGTCTGGGTGGGGGATGAGATGATAGTTGTCTCCCTGACAGTTTACTTCACAAGGCATGAGTAAACAGATTGCCAATTTCATTTTGAAAGGAAGAGAGAGAGATGAAAGGATCAGAGATAAAAGCGCTGCTTTGTTATTATAAAAACCAACTGTCTGAAGTCATAGTGTTCATACTCCTACAGAGAGAAGAAATCTAGGGGCAGAACACAAAAGAATGGAGTGTTATTTTGATGAAAGCTAAAAGGTATAGCATTTTAAATATGAAAGGCAGTGAAAGTAGGTTTGTGCCCTGTAAAGTGCAGAGAAAGTGAGAGAGGGAGAATTTCAGAAGAAATGTCTCATGTGAAACACTGCCTCCTACTTGCTTATTGAAAGTGTATCATCCCATCCCTGCTTATAGGGTGGCGCTGTGGTCTAAACCACTGAGCCTCTTGGGCTTGCTGACTGGAAGACTGGCGGTTCGAATCTGCATGAGCTCCCATTGCTCTGTCCCAGCTCCTGCCAATCTAGCAGTTCAAAAGCACACCTGTGCAAGTAGATAAATAGGTACCACTGCGGCAGGAAGGTAAACCACATTTCCGTGTGCTCTGGCTTCTGTCACGGTGTCCCGTTGCACCAGAAGCGGTTTAGTCATGCTGGCCACGTGATGTGGAAAGCTGTCTGCAGACAAACGGTGGCTCCCTCGGCCTGAAAGCGAGATGAGCGCCGCAACCCCATAGTCGCCTTTGACTGGACTTAATTGTCCACGAGTCCTTTACCTTCTTTTATAGGTTCTCTTTAACAATACCACTCCTGCATAACTATATTGCCTGGACTCTAGCTACAATACTTTACCCTAGAATTAACTGACTTTCTGTACTTGTTCCTGGTGAAGGAATTGAGGAACCCTGCAGTACTTTCACTATAATATCCAGTTGCTTGGGAGTAAGCCCCGCTGAACTCAGTTGGACCTACCTACTTCTGCTTGGCACGTATTGGAACACTCAGTTTACACATTTGATGTAGCAGCCATGGTTTGCCACCTGTAAGTTCATCTCCATACCACATTGTGAACAGTTAGCAGTTATAGTGATGGGCCAGGACTTTTAGACCAGGGTTCAAATCCCCAAACCGCCATGAAGCATGCTGGTCAGTCACTGTGTCTCAGCCTAAACTACCTCACAGATTTGTGATGGTAAAATGTGGTAGAAGAGAACCATATATACCCCTCTGAGCTCCTTCGAGGAAAAGTGGGATAGAAATGTGATTTTAAAAAATAAATAGATAAAATAAAATATTTATGGAGCATCAAGATCTTCCATGCCAGGTTTCTGTGCCCCATCATGTGGTCACCATGTAAGTTTCTTCATATCTTGAAATGTGCTTTAACTGAGTACAGGGTCCCATCCCTGTTCTGTGCTTGTGGGACTAGCAGAGTTCAGAGTTTGAATGTATGCTGTATTATACACTGCTGCATGCAGAGGTTTGACATTCTTCCTCAGCTCTTACAGATATGCAAAGCTCTCTCTCTCTCTCTCTCTCTCTCTCTCTCTGTGTGTGTGTGTGTGTGTTATACTTGCACGGAAAAGATACTGAGGTGCAAACAGCTATGAAATGAATCCATGACTGAAAAGGGAATGAATTGGGACACCCAGGGGAAAATTTTTTTGTTCATCTCCATACTACAGTGTGAGGTTTAACTGTGTCTAATATGAAAATAAGAGAGGTTGCCACTGGCTTGAATCTAGACTCTGTTAGACCCAATCTGCACTATACAGTGGTACCTTGGAAGTCAAATGGAATCCAGTCCAGAAGTCAGTTCGACTTCCAAAACATTTGGAAACCAAGGCGTGGCTTCCGATTGGCTGCAGCAGTTTCCTGCACTCAGCTGGAATCCGCGGAATCTGCGATGGACATTTGGGTTCCAAAGAACATTCGCAAACTGGAACACTTACTTCCTGGTTTGCGGCATTCTGGAGCCAAAACATTCGACTTGCAAGGCATTCGGCATCCAAGGTACAACTGCACATTTAAAACACTATGATACCACTTTAAACAGCCATGCCTCCCCCTCCAAAGAATCCTGGGAACTGTAGTTTGTTAAGGGTGCTGAGAGTTGTTAGGATCCCCCTCCCATTCCCCTCACAGAACTGCAATTCTCAGAATGGTTTAACAAACCAGTTCCCTGGGAAGAGTGGTTTAAAAAACAATCCCTTTCCCCAGGGAACTGGGGGAATTGTAGCCCTGTGAGGGAAAACAGGGGGTCTCCTGACAACAACTCTAAGCACCTTAAGCAAGATGCTATTCTCAAGATGCTTTGACTGAAAACCATGACTGTTTACAATGGTATCATAGTGTCTTAAATGTATAGTGTAAATGAGGCCATCACTGAGCTGAGGTCCCACTGATGTCAAGCTAGTCATTACTAAAGCCACACTGATTTCTGTAAGAACAAAGCTCAGCAAACTCAGGCTACATGCGCTTACCTAGGAGTAAGCCTCACTGAATTAAATGGGGCTTTCTTTTGAGTAAACATGCATATGATTGCATGTGGTGGAGCTTAGTCCCTAACAAGTTGGTTTTGTGGGTGAGGGACTGCCAGGTTTTAGTGGAACATTCTTTCATTATAATATTTTAAATTGTTCCAGCGTATTTTGTGAAAAGGGTTTTGTTGTTTTTAAAGTGTTTAGAATTGTAGCCTTACTTGCAACCACTATCTTCTGTTGATTTTAGGGAACTATATAGGTTAGGTGGGAATTTTTTTTAAATTTTTTTTAACAGTTTGAAAAAAAGAGAGAGGATTCTGGATGGGGAAGGGAGCAAGTATGTCTCTGTATGAAATATCAGTTGTAGGCGTGCATGTAGCAACCAGAGAGAAAGAGAGGAATATCTGTGAAAAGCTCATGTGCCATCTCAGAGATCACCCCCGCCACACACATCGTGTGCCACCCACTTCAGTAGTATTGCCTTGTGGGCAAGAGTTGTGTGATGTCTCTGGGGGGTAAAGCACAACATTTATACACACGTGGGAAACACAAAGGTTGAGGACAGATTTTTAGATGGAGAGGATGGGACAAAAAGCTCAGAGGGGACCCCCCCCCCAAGAAACTACAGTGGTACCTTGGGTTACATACACTTCAGGTTACACATGCTTCAGGTTACAGACTTCCCTAACCCAGAAATAGTACCTTGGGTTAAGAACTTTGCTTCAGGATGAGAACAGAAATCGTGCTCTGGCGGCACAGTGGCAGCGGGAGGCCCCATTAGCTAATGTGGTACCTCAGGTTAAGAACAGTTTCAGGTTAAGAACAGACCTCCAGAACGAATTAAGTTCTTAACCCAAGGTACCACTGTACCGGGGGGAGGGGGGAGGCAAGGAGAAAGAGAGAGTCATCATTTACCTTACTCAAATTCCAAACAGCTTCACTAAGTATTATTGTACAGGGCTTCAGCAGCTACACCGACTCTCAGGCTGTACTGTACCTTTCAGATTTTGCAAGGTTACAACACTGTGCCAGAACAAAGGGAAAAGACAGGTGAGGCACAATGCTGTCATAGAGCGAAGTCATGCTGAAGCATCACAAAGATTTGAAGGTGCTTGGCATTTCACATAACCAGATCACACTTGGTGTTAGATTTTCCTCACCTGGTGTGCCATTTGTCTCTGTTGGGGTGTTCTACAGCAGAGGTGTTTAACCTGCAGCCCTCCAGAAGCTGTTTGATTCCAACTCCCATTAGCTCCAGCCGGCAGCGGCAGGGGCAGCTGTACTCCAGCAATGTTTGGAAAGCAATACAAATATTTGACCGGTTACTTGATTAAGTATTGCCTGAGTTTGAACATACTTTTTTTCATAGTAACTTCATTTGCTGTATCATTCCAGATCACCGGTAGAGAGCAGCAGATGTTCATTATTCTAGCCAGGACTACTTCCAAGAGCTGCGCTTGAAATGAACTGAAACTGACAGGAGCCATGTTCCTGTAGCTTCCCATCTTGATTTTTTTTTAATGTTTCAGTAGTAAAAAAATGTGCTCGACACAGGGTAGTGTCTTAAAAGCTACTTGCCATTCTGGTTCTCCCCCCCCCCTTTTTTTAAACCTATCTTCAAACACTCCAAAAATCTCACCTTTCTATACCCCATTTCCACCTACAGTGTTCTTGACAGCTACACTGTGTGTTGTGAGTGAAGTATGTGTGTAAAAAAAAACACTCTGAAAAATGCAGGCATTAAACACACATTGAAGAAAACAACAGACAAGAACAGAAATCCAGAATATTCAGGGGTGCAAAAATGTCCTTTTGTTGAAAAGTTCCCCCACCACTCTTTCAAAATCACCCCACCCCAAAGCAGCTTCTTTCCTGCTAGAAAGGTCCATCATAGTTTTCTCCATGTAATTATTCCTGCAGAACAGCTTCATGGTGTGTCTAGTTAAGTGAAAGCATGCAATGAAATGTGCTTAGTGCCAGGGATAGCTATTCCTGTTGTTGATCTGCCTCCGGCCAGGTGTGAAAATGCTCCAGTACAGGTATGTTTGTTGATGACTTCTCTGCCAGCTACATCCTGTTGTTGTTGTTGTTTATTCACCTTTGCCACAATATAGGCAGGAAGCATGGTGCCCAGGCCTCAAGAATCGGGGAAGAATTTGCATTTTTCTCACCTCATAGTGTGAAGAAATCGGATAGGAACAGTGTTCCTCCCCCCCTCTCATAATGCTAAAACCCTGGGCAATTTGGGACTGACAATAGGCGGTATTTACCCACCTAGCTATAAACTATGGAATTCATTGCCACTATATGTGGCTATGGCCACTAACTTGGGTGGTTCTAGAGTATTTCATGGAGGATAAGCTATCGATGGCCTCTAGTCACAAGAGCTGTATGCTCTTTCTGGGATCCAACACGTTCCTGGAATACCAGCCGTCAGGGAGCAACAGTAGGAGAAGGGAGTTCTTCTCATGTCCTGCCTGTGGGATTACCATAGGCATCTGGTTGACCGCTGTGGAAAACAGGATCCTGGACTTAATAGGTATCTGGCAGGGCTGTTCCTCACTGTAACAATGCCCTCAGAGTACTTGGATTTAGATCAGGAGTGACAGGTACCTGAGGTAGAGGGTGAAGAAGAAGAGGGAGGTGAGCTAATGGAGCAGAGCCTGGTGGATGGGGCCCCCTGCCACTTCCAGACATGTCTGGCTGTGCTGTAGAAGCAAGAGTCCTTGAGGCGACTTCTTCCCTGCCCATGGAAGAGAGGGCGCTGTCAGAAACCGTGGAGGCCTCTCTTCCATCAGAGGACATGGGCATTCTGGGGTGCAGCCTGATATGCTGCTGTTGTCTCCCAGGGAGAGGTGGCACATCAAAAGAAAAGAGGAGGTACATTCCCCACCTTCAGCCCAGGAGACGGACAGTTGTGAGTATGTCTGCATCTTCTGCTTAAAAGCTTGGCTAGTAGGCAGGGAAACTTATTGGAACAACTATGCAGCTCCTGTGCAGACCTTCTTGTTATTGATCATGGACTTCTGATCTTTTGCCCTTATCCTAGACTGGACTTACACATGTTAACCCTTTGCCTTGTAAGAGCCCCTGATCTGTATCCGATGCTTTTCATGCCACTGAGTCTGTACTGTTAATCTGCTTTAATAAAGTAACTCACACTTACAAGCAGGTGCACTTACTGTCATGTGTTAGGCGGGAACCAGAACACTAATTTTCCACACCTTCCGTGTCCTAGGTATCACTTCCTCAGCAAGGGAACTTCGGAAGGTATTCAGCTAGTGTTTGCAGTTCTTGCCACCACTGCCGGGTCCTGTCTTATCCTTGTGATCCACTCCTAATGGGATCTGCCTCCCTTGCCGCTGCACAGGGAGGTGCTGACAGAGTCAATATGAGGAGGAGCCGTCAAACCGAGGGAAATATCCACAGGGACCAGCAGCGATGGAACAGCAGAGGCTCAGATAACATGCTGGGTTGCAAAGACTCCTGCATGACTTCCAACAGTGCTCAAAAGAACCCTTCCCTCCTCAGCTTTCCACTGTGGCCTCTTGCCAACACTAGGCAGATTACACTTAATGCCAACCCCAGGGCCTACCAGGCCAAACAAGAGCATCACAGTCGCCTCCCTGGGTAGGAGCTGTCTTGCTTTCTGGATGCAGACCACACCTCCTTTCTAAGATGCCGCATTTCTTTACATGGGAAAGGTGCAATTAGCCGCCGTACATATCCAAGTGTGTCTGCTTTGCCTTGTTTAACAGAGGAGAGGCCTTAATTAAAGACCCCCTGATGTTAGAAAGCCACATTAATTATTCATCCGAAAACATTTACATAGAGTCCCCCGTTTCCCTTCTTCAATAAATTATCAGCTTCACGTCTCCATAATTTATCAAAACGACTAAAAATACATTGTCTCGGCCCCCGTCACCTCCCTCCTAGCTCCGGCGTTGTGTCTTCAACATGTGATGGGTTTGTTTTCTTAATGGAAAGGTTCCCTGCTGCTCATAGGGAGTGGGTGAAAGGGGAGAGGGAAGGGTGGAGGAAAGGAAGATGGAAGGAGCTTCCACTGAACCAGCTGACAAGGGGGGTGGCTCTTCTTCCTTTGCCCATCAATCTGGCACCAAGATGGTGCTCCACGGTGGTCAGTGGCCATGCTGGGTGGTTTTGATGTAGAGGAAGAAGCAATAAAATGAAAAGGGGAGCAAATGAGAAGTCAAGTGTGTTTTGTGAAAGCCATAGTGCAGCCTTTGCCAGTCTGCTGCCCTCCAAATTTTCGTCTGGGTGGGTGGCGGTATTGTGCAAGAATGCCAAATCAGCTTAAAATGTAAAACCTCAATTAGAAACCTCAAAATAGCAACAGTCTGGAAAAAGGTTTGGCACAAGGAACACAAAGCAGAGCTTGAGGAGGAGTAGAGATGGGAAAATCTTCCTGTTCAGGTTTCATCAATTTCTCATTTTTCCATTCTTAAGTTTAGTTCTCCAAATTGCAACATAATTTTGTGATTTTTTTTTAAGCTGCCATGAAAATTAACCATCATTTTTAGTGCAAATGTCTCGAAATATACAGTGGTACCTCTGGTTACGAACTTAATTCATTCTGGAGGTCCGTTCTTAACCTGAAACCGTTTTTAACCTGAGGTACCACTTTAGCTAATGGGGCCTCCCGCTGCCGCCATGCTGCCAGTGCACACTTTCTGTTCTCATCCTGGGGAAAAGTTCTTAACCCGAAGTACTACTTCCGGGTTAGCAGAGTCTGTAACCCAAAGTGTTTGTAACCCGAGGTACCTCTGTATATATGTACACATTTTTTTGCAGAGCAATCTTCCCTGACGTAATGCATCTTTGTATACACTATTTTCACTAATGTGTGCATTTATATGCACACTTTAACCCAGCACAGTCATACCTTGGTTGTCAAACGTCTTAGTACTCAGATGTTTTGGCTCCTGAACACCACAAACCCAGACGTATGTATTCTGGTTTGCGAACGTTTTTTGGAAGCCGAATAGCCGTTTTGACTGTCAGCATTGTTTCCAGGGCCAATCAGCCAATCAGAAGCCACACCTTGGTTTCCAAACATTTTGGAAGTCGAATGGACTTCTGGAATGGATTCCGTTTGACAACCAAGGTACAGCTGTATGTGCATTTTGGCTAGCTAGAGTTTCATCTTAAGAAAGCATGGGAAAAAATGGTTTCTGGGACTCATTGCCACAGGATGCAGCTGAGGCCAAAAATTTACTGTGATTTAAGGACACACATGAGACCTCTCTATGAATAATGACAACTAGAGTTTTAATGCTACCAAATGTTGAAAAGGATATAAAAACAGATGCTTCAGGACTAAATCCAATCTCTAACTACTAGAGATTAAGATCTGACTCCTTGTAAGAGCAATTTATTCCCCATCTGCTGGCTGTAGGGAGCTTGCAGGAGATCTTCTAAAGCATCTGGTACTGGTCACTCTCAGACATAACCGTGGCCTGAACAGACATAGTTTCTGGGGAATTCATCATTAAGTTCCTAAAATAACCCCAGGTTGAAAGGTTATAAGCTTTTATAATGTATCTAGAAGATGGCAGGAGCAATGGGAAGAAAGCAGAATAGATGCATAGGTACAATTTTTTAATCGATTGTGACACTTCTTATTGTACAGCTTTTCCTTTATGAGTTTGTCTGCTATGCAACTGATTTCTATCCCTTCCTTATAGAAGCAGATGATTGGAGTGGGGTGGGGAAATAAAACACAACATGGGAAGTTGCTTACATGGGATGACCACTGTGATAAATATAATTTAGAACTGGACGAGATGGTGTCTTGGTCGTATCCAGAGGCGCTGTTGTGCTGTGTTAGCAGCTTCACACACTGCTGATTGGATTCAGGGCAGAACTTTTATATTAATCTTTCTTTCTGTTTCATTTAAACTTATATAATTAGAGGAGGTTTATGTCAATTAGAGGAGGTTTATGTTTACAGTAATAGGACCAGAGTTATGGAAACCTGAGGACCATTGTGCCTATGCACAATGTATTTGCACAATGTATATACCTATGTATTTGTTTACCTGTTCAGACAGCCAGTTTTTAAAAATTGCTTTTGAGATACAAATTTTCCAAGCTTACACAAAACAACAGGTTGATTTTATTTATTTATTTTTAAAAGACATATGTATTGTACCTGGTCCCAGAGGAGTGTCTGACCCATGGAAGTAGTGGGTGTGGTGACAGACGCCATTCAGCAAAAGGTCACCACACTTGTAAAATTAAACACCTGCCCTTGCCATGCACTTCAGTATGTCCACAATTGGGTAACATAATTTTCTACTGGGTTTTATTCCTCCTTATCACATGTCCGAGGGAGGCAAAAACTCTAGATGGGCCCAGTTTGTCTACAGGAAAATTCCTTCCCGGCTCCAAATACCATTGTTAAACCATAGCACATAAACAGGGGGCACAAGAAGCAAAGCAGAATTAGTATATAAGTAAAACAGGGTCACTTTACTTTACTTTTTAAAACCACAGAAAACAGGGAGGCTGGGTGGGCTGCTCTTCAGCTGACTGCATTGCTGTGGTCGGGCACAGTCAGCGTTTATTTCCAAGCGGTCGACCAGAGCGGAGGCTTCTCCATCCCGGCCTGCCGCCCAGGCTCCACCTGTCAAGCTTCAGGATGGTGGCTGTGGATCAGGTAAATCCAAATTCAAGCAGGGGAGTGCAGTCCACTACTTGGATCAGGAGAAAGTTGTGGGCATCACATGAAGAACACACACACATCGAATGCCTTAAATCCACTTTAAAATGCCGTGCGTACAGTTGTACCTTGGTTGACGAATGCCTTGCGACTGGAACGTTTTGGCTCCCGAACGCCACAAACCCGGAAGGGAACATCCAACACAGCTTCCACGGCTTCTGATTGGCTACAGGAGCTTCCTGCAGCCAATCGGAAGCTGCCCCTTTGTTTCCAAACATTTTGGAAGTTGAACGGACTTCCGGAACAGATTCTGTTTGACCTCTGAGGTACAACCAAGGTATATGGTTGTGGGGATTGAAATGTCACCAGGTCACAAAATAGGGGTGTTTGTTTCCATTTTAGGGGGTGTGATTTGACCTCATAATATGGTTTTAAATGACGGCGTTATGGTGGGGCTTCTTATCTTTCACCCCCCCCAACAGTTTTGAATGCCATGTGCAGATTTTATGCAAATCTATGCACTTTTTGATGTATTTTTGGGGTGATGCATTTCTTCTTTCTTTGGTGATGCATAAGTCGCTAGCCAAGGAGTTGGACCTAGGGGTGAGGTAGACCTGGATTTAAATCCTCTTCTCATCCATGAGGTTTTCTAGGTGGTCTTTGGTGAATCACAACTTCAGAGGGATGTTTTCAAGATAAAACAGAATAACACCCATGTTTGCCACCTGGAGGACCATGAATGATATGGAATCAATCTGCCATTCTACTCCCTTCCATCCTTTCATCTTTCCAAAATGGACCAAACAATTTCCTAAAGCTGGAGTCTGTTTCCTCAGCTCTTAAGAGTTGTCTGTGTTCTTATTGTGACAGGAAATGTATGGAAATGAATAAAGGTCAGACGTGAAATCAATATTTTGAAAATAGGTTTGACGCTTGCTCCTCGACATCATTTGTGGGGAGTGACTCTACCATTAGTATGAGGCACAGAAGCCTTGTCATTAGAAAATGACACTCCAGTTAATTCATCTGTGCTCTAGCTGACAAGATGGACAAGTTAGCCCAGGGCTCTTCAGACGTTGCCATAATCTGCATAATAAACCTCTCAAAGTACGTAAAGAAATCCTCTGAAGTGGACATAAGTAATCACAGGTAGCTTGACTGGCTGAATGTCCTCTTATCCCAAGTCCGGAGGCAGGCAGGTGAAAGAGCAATGGAAGAAGCTGGATCATAGAACCGCACAGTGTGCTTTTTATGAAATTTGAGGGAGAGGCTGCTGGGAAGCTACAAAGTGTTGGGGATTTCATTCCTCCGTGCTGCAGATGTGTGGGATTGTTACATGTCACATGTCTGTGTTTGCATTCCAGCAGTGATTGTGGGAGTCTTGTGAACGGAAGTTCCGTTCTGTGTTGCTTTTGCAGTTCTTGTCTCCCCCCGGCAGAAAGAAGTAGAGGAGCTATGTTTTCTTTGTTCTGTTCTGTTTGATTTTATACACAATAAATTAGGCTTAGATGTCACACCTCAAGGCTCAGCTTCTGTTTGGACTGCTAGTGTTGTGTGCTCATGTTCTTGGATATGGATCACATCAGTGCGACGGGACACAGGAGTGATGAATCATCCTGGGTGGAGCTGCATTGGTTGAGAGGCATTGGCCTCGGCGTTTCCCAACACAAAGCTCATGAAAGCTTTTCTCAGCAAGTCAACATATCAGTAATTATTTTCTTTTTTTTTAAAAAAAAAAGATCAGGGAATCAACGTATTCATGGCTAAAAAACCTGGTTTGTTTACTTCAAGGATGGAAAATGGCTGTATTCCTTGAGCTCTCACAGGTCTTTGGTTTCATTCACACTGCAATTTATTCCATTTTCTCAACATTTCCCTAACTTTTAATTTCTGCATTATATGTGAGAGCAAATGTTTAACTACAAAGCTGAAGACTGGCATATCTGTCTGTTTGTCTTTCTGCAAATGGGACCTACATTAACACGTTGGAGTGGAGTGTTCCTGCTTAGTGTTCCTGCCAATTAGGCAAATCTTCTTTCAGGGAAACTGTGTGTCCTTTCCTCTCCCTGCTGACTTTCTAACTCACCCTCCCTCCTGCAACAGCCAGTCAGCTTTCCTTGACCACTGAGCATGCTCAGTTTTCATTTGGCTGTTTCAGATCCACCCCCCTCCACATTTTTTGTACTTCTGCAAATCTTGGGGTTTTCCTCCATATGTTTGCATGCCAATGTATTGGCCAAGTGAGGTTCTACACCTCCGGGAACGGGTTTGATATCTGTATACAGGATATACTTTGAGGCGCCGTGATTCTGGAAAGAGAATATAGGACTTAGCTGCCTCCGGCAGGCCACAATTCAAATCCAATCAGCAAAGTCATTTAATCTCTAAGCCTCAGCCTTCCATCTTTGAGATAGCAATGGCATTGACCTCACTTGCAGAGCTGTGAGGCTGAATGAGGCTGTGATTATGAAACACATTAAAAATGCCAGAGCAACCACAAACAACTTTAAAACACCTGAATCTCAGAATGTTTTTCCCCCAAAGGGGTCTTGTTGATTTCCCCCACATATTGCTTTCTGCAATGAACAATATTTTGGAAATTATGTGAAACTTCAATAGCTGGCTCACCCAAAGTAGCCATTTTGGACTTCCAAGAGGTACTTTGGCAATCTCTACACAGATTGCATGATAAACACTAAAACTCCAGCTGTTTTACTTCATTGCCAGAACTCTGCTGTTGATGTGGATGCTCTGTATACATGAAGCAATCAAACGTGATTTCTTTCCTGGGGAATTATTTCACCACTCATCCCCACTGCTGCCACTTCTCCAGCCCTTTCCCCTCCATGATCTAAGAAAGACTCCCCAGCTTTGGGGTTAGCAGCAGATCACAGCAGATGTATGTTCTTTAGGATTCGACCGCCATTTTGTTTAATTAGTCTTGACATGCTGCTGTTGCTGCTATGGGAGAAATGTCAAGAGAAATTAAACCAACTGGTATCACAAAGACTAAGGGTGGGGGAGAGAAGCAAATTCAGTGTTTCACTTTCTGCAGTGAAGTTTGTGCCACTAACTCTCGCTGCTGATGGCTTTCAAGGAGAGAAAGGAATTTGGAAGAGACCTAAATTGATGTGAAGATAAGACTGGATCGTTGTGAACCAAGTTCTTCTAGACCTGACTAATAGATGCAAATGCAGGACAACGTTGTAAGGTTTCAAAGCTTAGTGTGTTTTCAGAACTAACACATTACAATCTAAGGTGGACTCATAGGGTGAGTTTAGTGTGTGAGGATTTCAAGTACAGCAAGATTGTTTGAACTGAACATATGGAGTTTTGTATTGGGATCCATACTTTCAAACTAACTCATAAAGGATCCAGAGTTAGGGGATAGTGAAATGGCCAAATTTGTGGATTATTGAGGATGTGAAAAACCAAAGACAGCCAACTGCTTCAATAGAATCTCTCTCAACTGGTTGCGTGGACAACAAAATGACAAACAGAGTTCAGTATAAGTGCAAAGTGGCACACATCAGGGCAATAAAACTTTACTAATATGCATGCTGGAAAGACATTCTGGGGTCCTGGTGGATATCTCACTGAAAACTCAGTGTGCGGCAGCTGTGGAAAAATCAAATTCCATCCTAGGGATTATTAGGAAAGGGGATGAAAATAAAACTGCCAGCATCATAATATCCTTGTGTGGATCTGTGTTGCTACTGAATTTGAATGACTTTGGTCACTCCATCTCAAAAAGGATACTGCAGAGCTGGAGAAGGTACAAAATTATCAGGATATGCAGCTCTTTCTGTACAAGGGAAAGCTAAAATCTTGCCCCATTTTAGTTTGGAGAAAAAATGGCTGGGGGGGGGCATGGCTCAAGTGTTTAAAATGATGCATGGCGTGAATAGCTTTTCCACTCACACAGTTGTAAGAAATCGATCTTTTTGTGTGTGATCACCTACATTTTGTAACTCCTTGCCTATTGGCATCAGGCAGACGCCTCTGCTGTCCTTTTTTCAGTGCCTGCCTTAAACATTTTGTTTAGGCAAGACTACCCAGGTATGCAGATATTGATATGTTTTCATCTCTTTTACTGTTAAATTTAATTATTTTGAAATGTTTTAAATTGTTGTTAACTGAAATGAAACTGACTTCAGGATAGACAGAAGAAAATATTTCTCCCCTACAATTCATGGTTAACTTATGGAATTGTGGGAGCCAGGAAGTCATGAAAAAGGCTCGTGGCGCCACCTGGTGCCTCGCTGACCTCAGTGACCTGCATGTCCGTTCCTTGCAGTGTATTAAGTGCATGACCCTATAAGGCGATGGGTGGGTTTAAGCCATGACCGGATGTAGGTAATGTGAGACATTGGCAAACGGCCATGCGAAAGGAGAGAACAAAGGATAATAAAAGTTACGGGAGAGAAGAGAAGTTCGAAAGGAGCTGCTCATACCATTCTGAAAATATTGCTGGCTTTCTGTGTCTTTATTTTATGCTAAACTGTGCCATTTGTGACGGCTGGCTCCGACATGGAATCAGATCCTCAGTGTGTAGTGATGACCGCTAGTGTTGATGGATATGAAAAGGGATTAGACACATTCATGGGGGATGGCTGTATCAAGGACTACTAGCAGTATACCACTGAAGACCAGTTCTTTGGGAAGAACAGTGGGGAAAAGGGATGCTGTATTCAAGCTCTGTTGGTTCCTAGAGGCAGCAGGTTCGCCATTGTGATATGAAGATGCTGGACTTGATGGACCACTGGTCTGATCTAGCAGGGCTTTTATATTCTTAAGCATGGCATCAGTAGATCCTTTCGGCAAGGAAGCTCTTTGTTTCAAGGTTTCAAGGACGCCAGTGCCACAGAACATAAGGAGAACATACAAGAACTGTATAAGATGCATCAATATTGTTCTTACAGTTAATTTTGAAAACAGCCTTAAATTTTGGCTTAGCGTATGCCTAATTACTACACATATGGCTTGAACGCCACTGCGGGAGAATTTCTTTCAAATCTGCCATGCAGATAAATGTGCTCATTTCCCAGTAACATCAGGTATTTCAGTTTCAAATTGTTGTCTCATAATATTTCGCTGCTTCTGCTGCTGCTGCTCAGTGCAGAAGCAGATATGCTGAATCAGTCAAGGCTTGGATGTTGGAAATGGGCAGAATATTCTTACAATGTTATTTCAATTTAATTGTGTGATATAAGGGCTATTCATTTTTTTTGTTGGCAGAAGAAGCCCTACCATACTCTGATCAAGTGCAATAAGTGGGGGGGGGGGGAGAGAAATAGGTGAAGCAGAATGATTCAGGATACTTTCCTCCATTCCCTGAGTTCAAATGCACCATCAATCCTTCCCACCCATCAGTTAAGGGCTTCCACAAAGGCTATTGTTTTTGCACCTAGAGCTCTGTGTTTTCCTATATCCCTGTGATTCTCTAGGTATGTGGGCTTTGCAAGAAGAGAGGCTGTTCAAAATGTTGCCTGCAGACCACTGAAGAACTCTGGAATTTTACCTACTTATTTATCTACTTATTCAAGTGCAACATTGAGGGATTTTTTTAATTTTATTTTTTAAAGAAAAGGTTTCATTCAGGATGTTTTTTTAAAAAATCTTTCAAACAAACAAATCTTTCAAAAGAAAACAAACAACAAACAAAACCCAGAGCTTTTCAGAACTCTATAGGAAAAATTCTAGATGGCATCACATTATGATGCCTTTGGGAACTTGTATACGAAACAAAAATACATACCACTTGGCCACCTCTTAATTATTTTAAGGTAAGAAAGAGACAACACCCTTCTCCTTTTCCACACCAAAAACAGGAAACTAATATGGATTTTGGAGTTGGCTGGCTTCATAAAGGTCTTGCCCTATTATGGTTTATGGAGGAAAATGAATCCCTTTTACTTCCTCCACAAAAATACATGGACCTGTTCTACAATATGGCATATGTCATTCATTCTGGAGGGGGTATTGTGCCTGAAAATATCATCTGCTTTGGCCAAAAGTGGGGGAAGTCATAGTCATTTTAGATTGACCATTGTAGCAGAACACAAGTAGTTTGGAACCTAAATTACAGAGCAAAGCAGAGAAAGCACAGAACAATGCAAAAACAGAACATTTTCTCCTTTTTTAGGTGAATCTTGGGGGAGTGCACGCCTCTAAGATTTACATTCCACCTAACTAAAAGAAATGAAGGTTAAAGATTTGGATGCATTTTGATACTGTGGCTCAAGGAACAAAGATAAATTCAAGGTCCAAAAAGGCTTGAGACTCATTGGCAGCAAATCTTTGCAACAGCGATGGTAAACTGTCACTCTCTGAGATGCTTCCCATCTCTGGCTTAGCAAAGAGGCGCATGAAGAGGGACCCATTTGAGCCCAATATACTCTAAAGCCAGAACAGTCAGGTATGAGTAATAATAATGGGCTGGTAGATACAGGAGTTTTAGAGGAGTATTCCATTAAATCATTGTGCTAGTGGAAGGTAGCACAATTCCAATTAGTGCAACATGCCTTTCCTCCCTCTTCTCCTCCACATGCCCCCTACATCCTCCTCATATCTGTTCTAGAGGGTCAGAAGAACACCCAGAACAGTGTGCAGGGAGAGTAGAGAGAAGATTGGAACCATCTCCTTAGTGCTACATGAAATGCAACCATAGAATTTGGCATGAGGAGGGTTGGGAATTTTAATATTGTAGTTTAGCCCTCAGGCAAGCCCTATCTTTTCAGATTCAGTTTCTTCCTTAAAGAAATGTGAACTGAGTGTTAACAAAAGCTACACACTCAAGGATCACTTCATGAAAATTAATAATTTACACTTCACATGCATTCAGGATCCTGAATGAGTATACATCCAATCTAGATGGCTAAAAAGCAGTAAGTACCCGTGTCGCGTAATGGTTAGAATGTTGGACTATGACCTGGGAGACCAGGGTTTGAATCCCCACCCAGCCATGAAGCTCACTGGGCGACTTGGGGCCAGTCACCATCTAATAGCCTAACTTGCCTTGCAAGGTTGTTGTGAGGATGAAATGGGGGATAACCATGTACACCACCTTGAGCTCCTTGGAAGGCAAAGGTGGTGTAGAAATGTAATAAATAGATAAAAGATCAGAACTCTTCCCTCATGCATGTATTCGCAATGCAGATGGGTGTGCAGAGGGATATGGAGATGTATCTGTCAGTTTGCATTTCTTAGTGCAGAAAGTATTGATCTGATGTGTAGAGATCTTTCCTATTCTAAATTAATTCAAGAGGGTTCTGGAAGTTTCTAGAAGCTTCTCTGTGTGAAAGAAACAAGCAGAAGGTTCATGATGTTTGGGTTATTCCTTCAGAGAAGCTGAGTACAGCTGGTTTAAACTGGTTCTGTTATCTCTTTCTGTCAAGGTCATGCTGACTATAAAAGCAGGGCCAGAAGGAGTCTGGATTTCACTTTCTCTGTCTCTTTTCCTTCTGGTGTGGTATTCTGTATATAAAGGTAAAGATAAAGGTAAAGGTACCCCTGCCCGTACGGGCCAGTCGTGTCCGACTCTAGGGTTGTGCGCTCATCTCACTTAAGAGGCCGGGAGCCAGCGCTGTCCAGAGACACTTCCGGGTCACGTGGCCAGCGTGACAAAGCTGCTCTGGCGAGCCAGCACCAGCGCAGCACACGGAAACACCGTTTACCTTCCCACCATAAAGCGGTACCTATTTATCTACTTGCACTTAGGGGTGCTTTCGAACTGCTAGGTGGGCAGGAGCTGGGACCAAAAGACGGGAGCTCACCCCGCCACGGGGATTTGAACTGCTGACCATACGATCGGCAAGTCCTAGGCACTGAGGTTTTACCCACAGCGCCACCCGCGTCCCGTTCTGTATATATTGTTAAGGTTTAGACTTATTGTAAGTTATTGTAAGTTTAAGTTAAGTTGGCTGCAACTGGATTTCTTATGGACAGTGCCAACCCTGAATACATTGGATTTGTGACCTTTATGCTCATTTGCCTTCAGCAGCAGTAAAGCATACAATTGCCTCTGGTCTATTTTTTGGAGAATCCTGCAACGTGTTCAAGTTGTTACTCTGCTAACTATACGTTGGCGTTCTGCTCTGGATCAATATTGAGTAGAATTCCATGACAGTATCCAGTGCTTTTTTTCTGGGGCTGCTCCAGGGTATGCAGTACCAGCTACCTTTTCCTCCCCCCCCCCCCATGTGAAAAATGTGGCACTTACTGAAACAACTTCATTCTGAGTACTGCCACCTTTTTTCCTTAAAAAAAGCGCTGGGTGTATCCATCTTTATCATTGTGAGTCTAGGACTTGAAAGCAAACGTGATTCCATATGAATTTCTTTGTAACAATAATTAAATAGTGATCTTGTGTATACCTAAATGGTGGAGTATTTAAAGGAACAGAAATCTGAATCTGCATGCAAGAGTGCACAAGGCCAGACAGCTGCTTGTCAGATAGGAGCACAAGCAAGGCTACGTTATGGGTCTTAAGTGTTTGTGACATAGGGGTCAGATGCTAACGCTGTCTGCTGGGATGCAGTGTCGTGCTGCTGACTCACCCTGGAAATCAGATTAAATAGATGCTATTAGTTCCCATGCAGGAAAGTCAAAGCTCTTCAACGTCAGAGGGAGGCTGCAGGTAATAATCCTAGTCGAGCTGCTGCCATAAGGCCAGCAGAAGTGGACAGGAGGGGTGGGCGGGCTTGGTGACCCCTTTTCAAATTCCTGCTTGGCTAGGAAGCTCTCTCGGCATCTTTGCACAATGCAGTAGCTGCAAGTCTAACCACCTTGCCTCATGTTGCGAGAACAGATGAGTCAGTCATAGTAAGGCTTTTTGTATACTGAAGACTGCTATAGAATGAAATGACAATGAATGATGATGTGAGTTTTCTAGAATCATGGAATCAATGTTGACGGGGGTCTTGTAGGTCAGCTAGTCCCAGCCACTGCCCAATGCAAGCAATCTGGAGGTCAGATATCCCCACCAGAGGGTAGGCAAGCCTCTGGTTGAAGGCCATGGGCTCTCACCATCCCATAAGGGAATCTGTTTTATTCTTGTGAATCTGCTTTGTTTTCAGGTTTAGTAAACACACGCACACACATACACACACACTATTGTTGTAGGCTGTTTTGGATGGACTATATATAATAAGTGGCATGTAATCTATTCATTTTTTGAAAAAAAGAGTGTCTCTAAAAGTTCAACCATAATCTACTCTTTAGTAAACTTAACCCCATAGTATTTCCCTTCTTCTGTTTTTAAGCTTTGGCATAGTTTTACGAGCTGCAAAGGCATTTCTGGGAAAACAATTATTTTCCATTTAATTAATTATTTCTACAATTTATATAGCACTGAATTACAATTATCTCTAAGCTTAAGAAATGCAATAGAGATGAAATCAGTTAAAAATTAACTAGAAAACTAGAAATGATTTTAAATGCCTGTGGGGCGGGGGGGGGGGAGTTTTCACTAGGGGCCAGCAGTTCAACTGGGTGGGGACTTGCCTGACCTCTGCTGAAAGGAGCTCTTCTTGTGATGAACCAGGTATAGAAAGTTAAGAAGATTGACCAGGGATCAGGTTCTGTGAAGGAAGTGGATGGGAGCTACACTGATGATGCATGAAAATGGCTCATTGATAATTTTAGTGGCTGGTAACGTTAGAACAGCAGGTTTTAATAAGTTTAATCAGCAGGTCAGTCACTGAAAGCCCGGGTTGATTAATCATTGCAGACCATTTTAATCAATGCCAACAAATTAAATGGATGGGGCTGCGAGCTAAGGTTGTATTTTTAATTTTTTTTAAGGCAGTCTAGATTCTGGTGTGCTCATCATAGTCTGCTAAGGCAAAGACACTGTACAGTAACTTTTAAAATAAATCAATAAATTGTAAGTTGTCTCACATTTCCTTTTAAGAACACCCCCAGAGATGAGAAAGTAATCAGTGATGGGAAAGAATCTGAAATGCATGGATTGGGGTTGAGCTTGCATTTCATGGCTCTGGTCCTAGTTCTATTTGAAATCAGACACAGATATCTATGAAGCTGGGTGGAGGTGGTCCTTAATGGATATTTTTGGCCTGTGGTTCTCCACTCATTGCCATCCGTCCCCACTTTCAACATGCCAGAAGCAAGGGATGGCAGCAGAATACATCATCCCAGTGAGGCAACAGCTCAGGTGAGAGGGTTAGAGATAACACAGGGAGCCACAGCTAATTTGAAGTGGGGAAGGTTCAGCACCATGGACAGTTCTGCAAGTACTGATCCAGTTTCTTGGTATACATTCAGGACCATGGATAACAATCATATGGCCAAGGTAGGATACACATTATCCCAGCACTAGTCTACAGTAACTGCCAGGGTTTTTGTTAGGCTGACCAGGAGAGTCCATCCCACTCCCAAATGCTGTATCTGGCTGTCTTAAAGAACCTGCATTTTTCTCTGCAGTTGCTGGCTCCTTCTTGGAGGTGAAGACAGTAGTATGGATGAGCTGGTTGGGAAATGCTCCCTCAGGGTCCTTCAGCACTCTAGAGGAGTCTGAGGACAGTGGTGCGTCCTCATATTTTGTACATAGGGTGCAGAATCCAGGTGGTGTGCTCGACTTGGGAATTATCATGGAGCAAGTCTGACTCCTTTGTGCTGCTGCTCCTGGAGAGTTCAGTCACTGGACGTTCTTGTTCAGGGGCTGCAGGTGGTTATAGTAGTGGTGGGGCCTGAAGATCTGACTGCACCCAGGGACACTGGGGCTTATGAGAACTGCATATCCCTTAGTTCCCAATGATGGAATGGAATCTTACAGTGTTGAAAGCCCTCCTTGTACCAAGGCAAGGCCTGGGGAAGGCCTGGGAACATCACAGAGGATGCTAGAAGTTGCTGCCACAGGCATTATGTGATATATGTATGTTAGTGAGCAGAACTGAGTGAAGTATTATGAGTCATGGGAGTGTGGAGAGTGTGTGTGACCTTAACAGTGACTAGTTTATTTCTGCTTGCTATTTTGTTGATATTGTTTTATAGATTATGAATTGATTTGTTAATAATTTAATATGACTTTTGCTTTAATTGTGATTTTTAGCTTCTTCTTTTTTACTTTTTTCTTCGTTAACCATGTTTCATAGATTGTATTGTTTCACCAATAATTTTTAAAATTATTTTCTATGATTTATGCTATGTTTGTGATGTTCTATTATGTTCTATCATATTATTGCTATTTATTATTTTTAAGATGCTTTGGGATTCAATCGAATGAAAAGCGGCATAAAAATATTGTAAATCAAACAGAACCAGTCATGCTCCTGGTTAGATCACTGGGAATTCAGAATGGGGCCCAGTTTTTAATTGAGTTTATTTTGGACAGGGGTGCAGAACTTGGCCTGGGGGCTAAATGTGGCCCTCCAGGCTTCTCTATCTGCCTCTCAAAACTCTCTCCCCTTTGCTATTTGTGTGCTTTTTAATCAATGGAAAAGTGAGAAATGCACACACACACACACACACAAAATATCCCATTGGGCTCTTTTGGCTTTCTCTGACCCATCATGTACATGCTTCTCTGTCCTGTCACAAAAAAACCCCACCATTTCAAACACTTGCTGAAATAATATTGATTTACTGAGTTAACTTAAGTGAGCATTGCCTGCTCATTTCTGGGTTTTAACTTATTTACAGTGTTACTTGCTTGGGGATTCTTAATGAGTAGGATGATAATAGGTTTCGGCAATTATGAGGCCTCTTGGTATCTGTGTTTATGGGTAGGTGGAAGCAGCAATTGGAGACAAACATTTCAAAGCTCAAAAAGCTGCTCTCTTGCTTCCTTTTCACTGAGCATATTGCTGGTAGTCATTGTCTTCCGCCACAGAAAAAAGCATGTATATGAACATGGAGCAGTGGTGGGGGACCTCTGGTTCACAGACTTAATTACCCCACAGACCCAAGTAGGCCCAACCAGGCCCTAATTTGGTCCACCAGGCCATTTCCCTCCAGCTATGCCCACTTGCCTCACATATATGATGGGGAGGTGTGTGGCTATAAAGGAATGATGGGAAGCCTTGAGGCATGCTCCTTACACTCAGATCAGATTCACTCTGAAGTTTTTCCATTGCACTTCAAGTCACCACAGGTAATCTGATGGGAAGTGGCTGCAAACCTGGTTTCAGCAGTGATCTTTCTTTTGAAACCCAGGTTGAACTCAAGCTATGCTGCAAAGGGAAAATTAGTGAACTGATATTATGGTGGCAACCAGTGATTGACAGGTGGACCTACCTGTCAAAGTGGCTTGAGGTGCATGGGGAAGCATGGGATCCTGGTTTTCTGTGAACCAGGAAGTAAAGGAGGACCCCACCTCTGGCATAGTTTTCAGGATTGCTGATCCATTGTGATGCCCACCACCAAAGGAATGTGATGACCCAAGCAAGATGGAGATCAATAGGCTCAGAGTTCTGGAGTAGAATGGAAGCAAAGGGAAAGCAAAATCAGGACTTTGGACAAAGGTGGTGGTTCAGGACCATGGATAGCAACTGAGGAAGGAAAGTTGTCTCAGCAGGGTCTTGAAGCCGCTGGTGGAGGTTTGTAGTCTGGACTAGGAAGTGAAAATGGCTCCTTCCCCACCATGGCCAGTTAAACAGGCAGTGCCATTTCTTGCAACTGTTGTCTTTCAAGTTGCAGTGGGGTTTCAAATTGTAGGGGCTCCTTTGGGGAAATCTCCTCAGAACTTTTGTCATCCTCTGAGGACTCTGCCATACTATCATTGGAGACCAAGGGAATATGTTTTTCAGGGGATGAGATACAGGCTCCAGTACTGTTGTAGGAAGCCTCTGAATCTGAGGATTCCTCATCTAGGACCACGAGAGTTACCTTTTTCTAGTAAACAGTTTTTTTAAAAGGGCTTTGGGACTCACTGCTGAACTTTTTCCTGGTCCCATAATATTTCAAAAGCAGCCCTTAAACTATATTTGGAGACCATGTTAACCTTATTTAGAAAAAATGTTCATGCATCGAACCAATGCGTGAGCAAGGAGCATTGCTGCACTGACTGCTCCCACCTTAGCATTGCACATGCCAACTTGTGCCATCCCCTGATGCCTACACACTCTTGTGCCTGCTGCACCCAAGGAAGCGGCCATGGTGAGTGACTTTTGTCAGGACAAATGGCTTTGGCATTCAGTAACACATTGCACTTGTGTCAGGGAGAGGGTGGGGTTGAGGTGTGGGTTGCTGAAGCCCTCCCTACAAACCTCCTGGCCTCTTCATTCATTGAGCTGAAATGGGTTTCTAATTGTAGTTATTCCATTTGGGTGTAGTTTGATCAGTTTCAGGGTAATAAGAAATAATTTGCTGGGAATCAGGAAGCAAGGGAGGAAAGAGCACATGAGTCAGAGTCCAGGAAGAACCAACTACCAAGCCATTGTACATTGGAACTTATGCTTAGTATAATAACCCACTCCATAGGGCAGCCTTTCTCAACCTGTGGGTCCCCAGATGTTGTTGAACTACAACTCCCATCACCCCTAGCTAGCAAGGCCAGAGCTCGGGGATGATGGGAGTTGTAGTCCAACAACATCTGGGGACCCACAGGTTGAGAACCGCTGCCATAGGGTATGACTGCCACATGGAGACCCACTTTTGGACATTTTCTAAGGTTGCTGTATGTGTACAGTGGTTGTGCTGGGTTTTCTTAACAAGCAGATCAGATAACTGGTGGTGTGGAGAAAACAATTTGATCAGCATGATCAGCTGGTGCACACCAGTGTCTCACTTTGTGCTGATATCTCTGTGTATGAAAGTGGCCTCTGTCGAGTGACTGTCACCAGCACCAGCTATTGTTATAGCTTTTGGAATGATATGATCCATTTGTCATTTATAATAAAACATTTTGATTTATTTCCAAGTGCAGAGTGTAACTCGCTTTCACACACAGACAGAAAATACAATATTTCATTATACCCAATGTTATCAAGAGAATGACAATAGAAGTGGGGAGTCATGGGATGGCAGACGTATTCCCTTGCCACATGAGAAACATTTTATTGTCTTCAGCTAGGAGATCACCTGAAAATCTAGCACAGGAGCCAAGCGTTTGCAGCATTTCACACTGGCTGATTATTTTAAAGGTATCCGTTATGGATCTAATAGGTGTTAATGTGGATGTAAGGATGTTGCTAGGAAACTTGCGGGGAGCTAAATGGAGAAATGCTACTAATAGAGGCAGTGACAGAGCAGAGCTAGGAAATAAATGTTTACAGCTCTTCTGTAAAGTTATTACATATGCAGCATTTAAACACTGATTCAGCTAGTTATTTAAGCACATCCTTCAAAGTGTTCGACTGAATTGGAGTCCTAGCCAAGAAAAAAAGGAAGAGCACAGCAACCTGTAAGGCTTTAGATGATGTTCAGTGATATACTGGGTGGTCTCCACAACACTGTGTGCATTTGCCAACTTTCTCTATGCATGTGTCTTCTGATTTGCTGCTTGGTGCTGCTGGCAAAGGTGTGTTGCCTTCCCTGCCCTCCTCTGTGTTGTATAAACTGTGGTGTAGCAGGGGTGGGAAACTTCAGGCCTGGGGGCCAAGTGTTGCTCTCTGGGCCGCTATCTCTGGGCCTGAGGACCCCCCTCTCCCCAGGCCAGACCCCTCAGGCCCTCTGGGTCCTTTTGCCTGGTTGCAATGTGTCTGTGAACTCTGTAAAAGATACAGTGGTACCTCAGGTTAAGTACTTAATTCGTTCTGGAGTTCCGTAATTAACCTGAAACTGTTCTTAACCTGAAGCACCACTTTAGCTAATGGGGCCTCCTGCTGCTGCCGCGCCGCCGGAGCCCGATTTCTGTTCTTATCCTGAAGCAAAGGAAAGATTATCAGAGTGTGTAACATGAAGCGTATGTAACCTGAAGCATATGTAGCATGAGGTACCATTGTATGTGCTTGACTGGATGGAGGCTAGAGACAGCAGCCTGTGGAAAGCAGCCTACTGTTACAAAGGTAAACTGTGACTTCATTCCTATGATCACTTTTGTCTCTGGCTCTGCCCACCATTGGCATGTAGCCTTGCACTGAATGTGGCCCTTGGGCTGAAAGCGGTTCCCGTTGCTAGAAGAGCCACATGCAACGCTTGCATCATGAAGTCTTTGGACCATCCAGGCTTGGCCTTTTGCTAGTGCCTGGTCAACAGAGCAGCCTCTTCTGCATCAAGCTCCAGTTCAAGCTTCTAGATCCATGGATCCTCGCCTGCAGAACTTGTCTGAAGTCAAGATTTATATAGAGCTGCTCACAGCACCTGCCCAAGCTGTTATACACTTGGCCTTTTCATCCCTGGCTTCCGTCCAGGGAGCCAGTCTGGTGTAGTGGTTAAGGGCGGTGGACTCATAATCTGGTGAACCAGGTTTGCTTCCCCGCTCCTCCACATGCAGCTGCTGGGTGACCTTGGGCTAGTCACACTTCTCTGAAGTCTCTCAGCCTCACTCACCTCACAGAATGTTTGTTGTGGGGGAGGAAGGGAAAGGAGAATGTTAACCGCTTTGAGACTCCTTCAGGTAGTGATAAAGTGGGATATCAAATCCAAACTCCTCCTCCATTGTAACACGTAATCTTACACGTTATTCCCCGTGACCATCAATGTTTTGGGCACCTTGACACCTGTTCTGTATGCCCTCTCCCACATACCTTCTCCTCCCAAAATGCTTTCCTAGCAGTGGTACCCAACATGCACAGGCAGCTGCTGAGGCCCCAGTGCCTTGGCAAGACCCAAGTACACTGATGCTGAGGAACCCTGGTTGTCATCTCCTAAATTGCTGACAGCAGCGATTTGGTCCAGGAAGCTTCCAACCCTTTTGAATTTCCCATGGTGCATTGTGGGAAGTTTAAAAGTGCCTAGTGGTCAGCCACTGGACAAAGCATAGCTCCAGTTGCTGCACTCGCTGGAAAGGGCCCACTGATGTCAAGGAGGGGCATCAATGTCCAAGGGGGCTTCACAAACCTGGAGCCAGTCTTGCCTTCACACATAGCGGAGCAGACAAACCAATATGCATTTCCTTCCGTAGCTGGGCTGGGCTGCTTCCCCTGCATGCTATGAGCCTGTACTACGCAACAGGACCTGACATCTTTTCAAAGAAGCATAAATCAGGCATCCTGATTTATAACATTCCCCCTCTTTGAAAGCATGGAGGTGTTCGTGCTGAGATCCTGGCTTAATTCCCACTTGGGTAATTATATTCTGCTTCCCCCTGCAGTTTCAGTAGGATAGAATATTCTTCATTGCCAGAGATAGGTGAGTGTGTGAGAGAGTGTGTGTGTTTGGTGGATGTGTGTGTGGAATCATCCAGGGGAAATTCAGCAACAACAAAACCTCTAAAGAAGTACAGAGAAACTGAAGGCTGTGGGTGGGGGGGGAATCATTTAGACACTTCCCCTACTTGTTAAAATGACTAAATATACTCCAGCACAACTGTGGTGTTTTCCCTTCATGTTAAAATGTTGGTGTGCAGGCAAACATATTTGGTGTTTTATGTTTCCATCTCTAAACAGGCGTGGAGTGAATGTTTGATTAATGTGAGGTCGCAATATTACTCACAGATGCTGTGTCTGTGCTATGATGCAGCACATTGGAGGAGGTCCTGTTAGAATGCATTTGTCTTCCGAGTATGAACAGCCAGCCTATCTTGCTTATCTTCCTTTCTCTGCCATGTGGGGTAACTGGTGCATCTCCAGTATTCCATATATATATATATATACACACATATATACATACACACACACATATCATTTCCAACAATCATATAACATAACTTCTTGTCTTATACAATATTTTAGACTTCTGTCAACATCTCTGATGATTTTCCGTTCTTTATGACTTATTTTGCATTTCTTAATTTCTCTATTACTCTTAATTATCATTAACTAATAATTCTCCTCATAGTCTTTCTTGCCATATTTCAGATAATTTTCCTTACTAAACTTCTTGCAGTCCTACTAGCATAATCTGTTCATTACAATTGCTTTTTAAATAATTTGTATATTTACTCCAGTCTTCTAAGAATCTCTGGTCCCGCAGGTTTCGAATCCTTCCTGTTAATTTCTCCAATTCTGCATAGTCCATCAGTTTCATCTGCCATTCTTCTTTCGTCGGTAATTCTTCTTGCTTCCATTTTTGTGCCAAGCATCTCCAGTCTTCCTATTACACTTTATGCTCTCTATGTTAAAGGCTGTCCACTGGCTTTGAAGACTTCTACCTCACTGCCAATATTTGGAGATTAAAGCTTAGCTCAGGGGTACCCAGCATAGTGTGCTCTAGATATTGATGGACTGTAACTCCTGTCATCCTTGACCATTGACCATGCTGGCTGGGGCTGATGGGTAGGGATGGGCAAATTTATCATAGAATTGTAGAGTTGGAAGGGTCCACAAAGGTCCTCTAGTCTAACCCTCTGCAATGCAGGAATCTTTTGCTGAACTTGTGGAACACTCTCCCCAGGGAGGTTCTCCTAGTTTTGTTTGTGGAATGCTCTCCTCAGGGCGATTCTCTTGATGCCATCACTCCATAGCTTTAGGCGCCAGGCAAATATATATATATATATATATATATATATATATATATATATATATATATATTTTCCACCAGGACTTTGGCTCCTCATTATCTGTAGACTTGAATGGATGGATTGTTTTAATCCTGCCTTTAAAAATAGGATTGTCCTTTGGTTTTCTTCTTTTATGCTGGTCTCAATGCGTGCCTTTGTTTATATATTGCAAGTTGCTTTCAGTTACCTTGGTCTAAAAAAGTGACCAATAAATTTAATAAATAGTAATATCCTCTATTAATTCAAATGTTATGTTCCCTGAAGTAGTAGAAGTTGAGCCCCCATCAGTGATATGGTCAGAGCAGGATTTGGCCTTGTGCTTCATGTCTTTTACTCTTGCTCCAATCCTTCCATATCATCCTGTTCTACTTTATATCTGTGTCTGCTTTATTGGTAGCCTTCCCCTATGTACTCTAAGCATTTTGCAAGCAAAGTAAAAAAAGAAAACCATTTCAGAAGCAATTAATATTAGTTAACGACTTTTAAAAGAAAATAAATAAAAGTTATTTAGATTTGTGTGCTCATTAAGTAAAATGCTTTAGTGGCTGCAATTCTGGAAGTGATAAAAAACAACTCCAGATAGGTTGCTCAGGGCCAAATTAGGTATTGCACAAAGTTCTGTGTTACTTTTCTCTGCTTTTTATTCTTTAACATATCAAAAGTCATCTCAGCAGCCTGCCAGTCTGATCAAAGAACTGAATGGCAGAGGAAGGCTACTTAACTCTTTTCTGCCCAGACTATCTCAGCCCAGTTATCTTTCCTAAGCTGCTTTTCTACATGTGGGGTCAAATAGGGGACTCCCAGGAGTTGTATCCAAGGCTGTTATTCTGCTAGTGCAGCAGACTTCTGCTTGTGCAGTGGAACTCCCCCATCCTCTTCTCTGCAGTCCCCCTTGCATCAAAATATTTTCCTGAGGTTAGAGGGCACTTCAGAGCAATTTTTGAGGGCATAAAAGGAGAGGAGAGGAGAGGAGAGGAGAGGAGAGGAAAGTCCTGTTGCATGATGAAATGCCACATGCAGGTTTGGCTATAAACCTAAACCATTTCAGGCTGCTGGTGGGAAGTGCAATGATTTTTGAAGTGACAAATGGCCAGAAGGGAAAGTGCTAAGGACCTTTTCACTCCCATCATTATTGTGTTCTTCTGTTGCTGTTCACCTAGCTGCCCTAATACAAAAATGGGGAATATGCTAAAGGAAATGGCTTGCAAAATTGTGTGCATTATGAAAAATTGCATGTAAAGATGTGTGTATTGGGAGAAATGTATGATAGTACGCTGATGAATTCTTATGAGGAACTTTTTTAAAAAATAAAATAACATCACAAACTCATGCAGAACCAAAGTAAACTGAATTTAAGACTGGGGAGAGATAAGAAACACCCAAATTGATGGATTTATTTATTCCCTAATCATGAGGCAGGAGAGAATGTGGGCACCACTAAAAATGGTAGCAGAGCAAAGAAATCAACCTTAAGCTAGTGCTTGAAAGCAGCTATTTCTTGTGTGGAGAGTTTTGACTGATGCTAGTACACGGGGGGGGGGGGATGCTGGTAATATGGCACCCTGAGTGATCCCAAAATTTGGTGCCCCCAAATGGATCTTCTCAATTTTGTGCCCCCTCAGTTCAACACCCTATGCAGGGAAGCCACCTGCACTGCTCTAAAGTTAAACCCTGCACCCCAAACCGGCCCTGAGCTTTCCTCCGCTCTTTCCAGGCATAGGTTGTAATTTAAAGCTTCATGTCTGAGAGTCTCCTTTTTTTGCCCTAGAACTTACCCACCCTGCAAAAGCCCGCTCTTTAAAGCTCAATAGGAGGAAACATCAATCCCAGGAAAGCTCAAATGGATGTTTGCTCCAATTCAGCTTTGTAGAGCAGGTTTCACAAGCAAAGTTTGTTGGGGGGGGGGAGGGAACAAAACAACAGCAACAACAAAACATGCTCAGAAAAAACATGCTCGGATGTGGACCTCTTCCTGGAAAGAGCAGGGCAAAAAGTGTGGATAGGCCCTAAAACGATTTCCTCAATAATAACCTAAGTTATTATAATGCTTGTTATGGCATCTTTCCGTAATAATCCACTACTTTCAGGCACCAGCTAAAGATTGGTTTCTTCCTTTGCTCCTCCTGTCATTGGGTGATAATATCTGGGGTAGGCCACCTCACAGACAATTGTGTTGCTGAGAATGACAACACTGGGTTGTCTGTGTCAAGGAGAAGCCATCAGCGTGGCATTCAAGAATGGATCCCTCTGGTGTCAGTGTCTTTTTCTGAGCTTAAACAAAGGACAACTTACTGGCTATTTGGAGGGCAGCTGGGAATGAAATATGAGACGAGCTTTTCTTAAAAAAGTATCCCGCCTACAAGACTGTGGGTGACAAACAGATATCATGATGCAGGTCATGAACGTACTATAGTCACAGAAATATATTGCAATCAAGCTGGAACTAGTTGTAGATACTAGCCTCCCTGCTGCGGCATTTTGTTCTTTCAGGATTATGCTGCAAATCCCGCTGCAAAAATCAGCAGCAACACTTACCTTTATTTGTTTTCCTTTGGGAGGACAAATCAGGGGAAGCTTATGGCATTTCTGTGATATTTGAGCGTATTTTCAAATATAAGCTGAACATAGGTGGAGACAGATGGCACAGCAATGCTCTTTGCACACAGAGCTTGATTGCATCATCCATGAATGGGGCAGGTGAAGGTATGCCACCTACTCCATCAGTTTCTCCCATTCAGAACAGTTAGTGAAGAGCCAGCAATTCCCTGGCTATTGGTGGTGGTGGAGGGCAACCAAAATGGTCAAAGGCCTGGAAACGATGCCTTATGAGGAACGGCTAAGGGAGCTGGGCATGTTTAGCCTGGAGAAGAGGAGGTTAAGGGGTGATATGATAGCCATGTTCAAATATATAAAAGGATGTCACATAGAGGAGGGAGAAAAGTTGTTTTCTGCTGCTCCAGAGAAGCGGACACGGAGCAATGGATCCAAACTACAAGAAAGAAGATTCCACCTAAACATTAGGAAGAACTTCCTGACAGTAAGAGCTGTTCGACAGTGGAATTTGCTGCCAAGGAGTGTGGTGGAGTCTCCTTCTTTGGAGGTCTTTAAGCAGAGGCTTGACAACCATATGTCAGGAGTGCTCTGATGGTGTTTCCTGCTTGGCAGGGGGTTGGACTCGATGGCCCTTGTGGTCTCTTCCAACTCTATGATTCTATGATTCTATGATCTGATGGCCTTATGGATCAATAGCCAGGCCATTTGCTTGATAAAAGGGATAAGCTGGGCCTGGATGAGTATGGGAGAGTTATCCATGTACACCCCTTTGGGTCTAAAAGTGGGACACTTATCCTCTCCCTCTACTTTGGATATATTTGCAGCTAAACCAATGGTAAACATGCGGGTTTCCCACAATTCCACAATTTTCTAAGCCGTATACAAAGATTAAAAAGCCTATGCTACTATGTCACTCCCAATATTATTATTAGAGGCATGTTGCACCACAAGGACAATGATTAAACACCTGCAGATATTAATAGGGCTTGTTTGGTCTTACCTTCCTGTCATCCTTTCTGACTCCCATGATGTTATTTTCTTCGCCAACCCCAGTGCCCTCCAGATGTGTCAGACTACAATTCCCACCAGCCAGCACAATTGTTGGAGTTATAGTCAAAAACATCTGAAGGGTGCTGTCTCAGGGAAGATGGTTCCATTACAGCAGTTCAGCACCCACCGCCGGAAATTCCTTCTTCTACTCAACTTTCTTTTTTTTACTGCAGCCTTGCTCTTTATCACATCTGTCCATCCTATTGGTATCTATTCTGTTTCTCTAAAGTGCATCTTATCCCTCTGCTCCTTATGTCTGCAACAAATTACTATGGTCCAGAATGTGATCTCCAAGATAATCCCTGGGGCTGACTCTAGCCTGGGGAAGTTCATAAATTAAACTGAGATAAATTCAAATGAGCATTTGGAGATTTTTCCAAATATTCTCAGTGCAGTTAGACCAAAATGTATACCACAAGGGACTCTGGAAGGAGGTGTTCAAAAGCCACATTCAGGCATTTTGAGCAGCTGTGTACTAGAGCCACACAAGGAAGAGGGCATGGCTCAATGTAAGGTTCTAGCTTTCACCACTAGAAATTCAATTGAAACAGGGGTGGCTAACCTGGTTATCTTCTATCTAGATGTTGTTAGACTGCAACTCCCATCATTCCTGGCCATTGGTCATGCTGGCTGTGGGTGATAGGAATTGCAGTCCCAACAACTGGATGGGACAGCTATAGGTTTGCCACCCCTGAGTTTAAAGGATCACAGATTTTAGGGAAAGTAGTAAAAAGCAGATCAATGGATGATTTAACCATGGCTTGAGTTAGTAAACTTTCAAAACCTAAACACATTCTTATCTTCCCTTAAAATGTAATGCTACATTTAGATCTGGCTCTATAAACTATAGGGGCTCCTTCAGACAGAAAAGCTGTTTATTGAGCATGCACTTATTTATTTATAAACAATATTCATATACCACTGTATACAACACACAAACAAACAAACAAACACACAATATAATAATGAAAAGTTAAAAGCAAGTTACAGGGCTGATGTGAGGAGTGGGAGAACTCTTAGGAGAAAAAGGTGGGATATAAATGTAATACATTAATTTTATTTATTTATTCATTGGGCAATCCTTGGATCTTAGTATTATCATAGAAGAAGAAACACATTTTCTCAGTGCTCTCTGTCCATATTGTGTATATATATTTTTAAATAAATCTCCATCATGTCATCCCCATCAACTTTTTACACACCCTTATAATAAGGGCCCTGTGGGGTGCTTCTCACGTACGCAGGCTGAAATTCAACCAGTGGAACTGTCAGTGCATTTCCATACTGGGAAAGGTCATGCTTGTTGCATTTATTCCTTTCGCGCATCTGTTTAAGACGCAGTGCGCATCTGTGCACATCCTTGTATTGCAGGAGATTGGATTAGATGGCCTTTGGGGTCCCCTCCAACTCTACAATTCTAAGAACCCTGTCAGGGGGAAAAGGTGGCTTCCTTACTTAGCTGCACCTTACCTGCTCATGGTTTTTGTGCTCTCCATAGCTCTATGAGTGACAGAAATTCACCAGAGTGTAATCTCTCAGCCTTTTTGATGCATCCATGCTGGAAGCATTACCTGCTGAATTTCTGCCTTGCCTACTGCTGTTAAAGGCTATTTTCTATCAGCGGTTCCTTCTGCCTCCTCTTCCAAGAGGAAAGAACACAGAATTCAGTCTGCATCCCACTCCCCCTGCACCCCACCCAGGATATTGCAATTCTGTTCCATCTTTGTGTGGATTTTTATTGTTAGCCACTTTGGGAGCTAATCCTGGTGTCAAAAATGAGGGTATAGCAACAAAGTCATTATTTCTGCTTACATTTTCCATAAATGTTCTCTTATGTCAGTGAGGAATGACAGCACTCAAAAAAATATGCCCTGTGGCTATGAAATATAAATGTAAAAAGTGGATCTTCCATCACATTGAATAAGCAAATGTGCAGACACAGTGAACTATATTGTCTCGGACAGAATGCATGTGGCTGGTGGTGTCAATAAACAAAAAACAGGCCACACAGTGTCAGAAATAACCTCGGGATTAATGGTCCTTGTTCATTTCGATTTACATGATGGATTGTAATAAATTCAGACGAGGAAGAAGACTCACCACGATCTCAGGGACAGCTTCTCCCATCTCACAGCCAACACTGGCAATTCTGCTTAGGGAGTCCTCTGGGAAGATTTTGAACACAGCCAGAAATGTTTATCTTCTATTAAGTCTTTTGAATTAAATCTGAGTTCAGTATATAAAATGCAAGTATTTCAGTGGAGTTACATCAGAGACAAGTTTGGCCTTTGGGGAACTTTCATACAGTTTTGGCAGGGTAGGTGAAAACACTGCTATAGTCTCAAACTTCCAAAGCCTGTTTCACATATCATTTCAGGATATGGAAGATTCACAACAAATGAACAAAACTACTTCTTCGTACAGAGCATTTGTGGGAGCGGATGGTGGGAGTGGGATTTATTGGTTTGTGTGTGCACATGGGGGAATTTGTTATTGTTTTTATTAGGTATTTCGTGTTTTTATTTTGTATTTTTACATTGTGAGCTGCCCTAAGATCTATGGATGAAGGGTGGTACACTAAATGAATGAATGAATGAATGAATGAATGAATGAATGAATGGAACTGGCTCCCACAGGACACACTGATAGCCACAAACTTGGGTGGCTTTAAAAGAGGTCTGGATAAATTCATGAAGGACAAGGTTTTCAAGGGCTGCTAGCCATGATGATGGCTATGCTCTGCCTCCATGGGCAGAGGTGATAATGCTTCTTGTTCTTTTTTTTTAAAAAAAAATATTTTTTATTAAAGGTTTTCTTGGTTTACAAAAGTACATGTCTGTTGTCTCTCTTTTTCAGGTTGTAAAGTCTTTTCTACAGATCAGTTACATTTGATACGCGACATTCATGTCGTATTCACTATAAGGTTGGGGGATGAGAGTGGAGAAGAGGTCATAATCCTTCTGAATGAACAGCTTCTGGAAGCCAACTGTGGTTCACTGTATGCTAGTGCTGCATTAGATGGGTCAGTGGCCGTAATAACATATGGAGAGCTTCACTGGGCCAGACCAAAGTCCCATCTGCTCCAGCATCCTGTTCTCACAGTGGCCAACCAAATGCCCATAGGAAGCCTGCAAGCAGGACCTGAGCAAAACAGTGCTCTCCCCAATTGTAATTCCCAGTACAGTCATACCTTGGGTTACAGACGCTTCAGGTTGCATTTTTTTGGGTTACGGACCGCCGAAACCCGGAAGTACCAGAACGGGTTACTTCCGGGTTTCGGCGGTCACGCATGCGCAGAAGCACCGAATCGCAACCCGTGCATGCGCAGATGCGCCACTGTGGGTTGTGAATGTGTATCCCGCAAGGATCATGTTTGCAACCTGAGTGTCCACTGTACTGTAATTGGCATTCAGAGGCAATACTGTGGCCACTCTCTTCTTCTGTCTAAGGAGGCTTCCTAATTCTCCTGCAAGGATGAAATGATGATATTAAATGGGGCAGGAACTCCCCATGGAGAGGGATGAGATCACTTCACCCGTTGGGACCTCAAATGTCAGTGGGGATGTAGAATGAGGGCAACCACCCCACTAATCTGAAAGCTGCCTTCATTTCTTCCTGCTCTGTAAGGTTGCCCTTTTTGCACCAGGCACTTTTCCATCTGGTGCGATTGTGCCTGGGGTGGTCTGTATATATGTGTTTGGTTACTGGAATGTTAACCCAAAGCCCAAGTCATTGTGAATTGGCATCATCAGTGTTTTCTTTCCCTCTATTGTGGCGGGGGGGGGGGGGCTTTGCCTTCTTCCTCATCCCTACTTCATTCCTCTGCCAAGTCCTTGTGCTCTCAGCTTCGGCAGACGTGCATCTTCCACATTCGCTTTGCCTCTGGTGCATCTCACGTACCCTAACAAAAAAAGCATGGTGCATGTCTTGCGCCAAGGCATCTCCACCTGCTGGCTCTGAAATGATTGAATCCTGCCATGAGCAAGATATTTCTAGCAGCACAGCCATTATTACTTGCAGTATAAAGGAATGCAAACATAAATCCATTGCTTTATGTGCTGGCATTCGCTTCTCGACATTTTAAAGTGTAAGGGAAAGGGGGAGGCAAGATCAGTACACCCTGGTTAGCAATACTGTCTAAAAAGGTGCCTTATTATAGAGACAAAATAACACTCTGCATACCCTTGTGACGCCAAACGCAAGTGTACATCCTTTGTTTTCCTCAATATAACTTTATATTCTCATTCAGATTTATGAGCAAAACAACTATTTCAGCCCTTCTCAGAAAAACAGAGGTGCAAAATTGAGGTCCACTTTCTGAATAGTGTCACTTTTGCTCTTAAAAGCTTCCCTGTTCCTTGTTTCAGAGTTATCTCCTGGCAAGCTTCAGTTGATCTCCTCTAGTCCCTGCAGACATGGCGGAAAGGAACACTTCTTGCACTCTGAATGGTGGGAAGAGTTTGAGATGTGTGAAGGTGGTGATGAAAATGAAACCTCTGACAGTGATTTGGCTGAGCTGCCCTACTGCCACAGTGGAGGCAGAGCAAGGAGACAGGCCTCTAGATGGCAGCCAGATCCTGTGAAGGTGCAAGACTAGCAGAGGGCCTCAGGGATGATGGAGATGAAATACAAATGCATAAAGGGAGGATGGAAGGTCTTGAGAAAATTGTGAGGCAAGGGAAACAGAGGTAACCAAGAAGAGGGAGGTTGGAAGTAGCACAAACAGAGGCAAACAGCAGCGTGAATTGTAAGGACCACAACACGGCCGGCCCAACCATTAGGCAGTGAGGCAGCTGCCTCAGGTAGCAGCAGGTGATGAGGTGTTGGAGAACAGAGCCCCCAAAGCTAGGCTGCTGCCCTCAGGTGCACGGGAAGCTGCTGTTTTGTCACCAGAATTAATTAGGAATTAACTTCCAGCCCAACAGAATAGGACGAGCATGATACCTTTCCCTTTCCCTTAGGCAGAAAAATGCCTTGGGCTGGCATGTGTTGCAAGGACAGAAAAATTCCCACTCCTTAAGGGCTGTAGTTGAGTGGCAGACAGGACCAGCCCAGGATGTTTTGCTGCAGGAGACAAAACTGAAAATGTCTTTTCTTCTGCTGTTTCTTCTTCTTCTCCCGGTTCCCACAGGTAGCTCAGTTGGTAGAGCATGAGACTCTTGATGTCAGGGCTGTGAGCTTGAGTCCCACGTTGGGCAAAAGGATTTCTGCATTGCAGGGGCTTGGAGTAAATGACCCTCATGGTTGCTTCCAACTCTACAAGTCTCTGATTCTGTGGTTCAGTCCTTGGCAGAGGCATAGCTGGTGCGTGTGTGCACTGCACTGTGTGGGTGGCACTCACCATGGGACCTGCTGTGCGCCTGAGCCTTTCCTGGGAGTGACGCGGTGGCTTGGGCGGTTGCAAACTCCTTGCTGCCTGAAACAGACTCCCTGCAGTCTCTGTGCTGCTTGGAAAAGCAACGCCCGGAGTGGAATGTGGCTTGGGCACTGGGATTCTGCCGCACCCTGTCCCATCCCGCAGCGCCTTGCCCCCCAGGAATGGGCTCAGGGTACATGCACCATTGCAGGCTCCCAAGCAGCTAACTACGCCGCTGGTTCTTGGCAACTCCAGATAGGACAGGGGGAGAACCTGGTCTGAAACCTTGGCTGAAATGACTGGCTGGCGGAAATGACTGGCAGAATCCGAGACCAGGGAGAAGAGTTGGTGGAAGAAGATTGGAAGAAATTTAAAGACTATTTACAGAAATACTGTAAAATTAATGAATGTTAGAATGATGTCAGAATGAAGTTATGTGGTTTTAGCAGCAATATTACAAAGGAGTATGTAAAAATGGATTGTTAACAGGTGAGAATCTAAAGTTACAATATATTAAGTTAAAGGATTAGGATAAAAACAAAGAGGGAAAGGATTTGCTGAATTAGCTAACTGAACTGGAATACAAAAAAGGGAGGTGTGAGGAGGTCAGGGAAACAAGTAAATGAAAGACAAGACATGGAAAGATTGATTTGTTTTTAAGTGCTTTTACTTTTCTGTATTTTGTATTTTTTCTTTTTTTTTCTTTTCTTTTTCCTATTTTTGTAACCTTTTTTGAAACTTCAATAAATATCATTTTCAAAAAAATAAAATAAAATGAAACCTTGGAGAGCCACAGCCAGTTAGTGTAGACCACTGGTGGCCAAACTTAGCCCTCCAGCTGTTTTGGGACCAGTGGTCAGGGATGATGGGAACACTAGTCCCAGAACAGCTGGAGGGCCAAGTTTGGCCACTACTGGTGTAAACAATACTGACTGAGATGGACCAAAGCCCTCGCTCAGTACAATGTACAATGTCCTGAGGCTGATCAGGCTTCCCTATGGCTGGTCTTTACATAACAATGAGCATGCACCTCAACTGTATTCACACAGTAAACATCACTGTAAATATTCAGCCTTTAGAGGAAAAGAGAAGTCTGAAAGCATGAAAATGGCCAATAACAGAAGGGGCAAAGATGGCTGAAACTCACACAGCGATTTGAAATAATCAGCCACATCTTTGGCTGCAGACCTCTCCTTTTCAGTAAATTATGGCAAGATAAACATGATATAAAGTGCCTGGGATGATAATTGATGGGACTTCCACAGTTTACTGGACAAGCACATCTCTGCATACAGCAGACTCAGCTAAGCACAGTGAAGTCTTCTAAAGATTTTGTTCTGGGGGGAAAATGCAGAGGTAATTAAATGGATGTATTTCTGATGTTCTGCCATAATGCTCCCTAAATAGAATTAAAGCAAAGCAGGCTGCCAACTTCATTTCTTCAATAGCACTGTGAGATAACTTGGTTTCAGCAGACTGAGGTTATTAATGATCAGTTCAGTAAATTTTATCATTTACTTTATACCTCAGGAGGACGCTAGGATGAAACTGATTTTGATCAAACCACAAATACTGTCACCTTTAATAAATTGTGATCTGACAGTGGGTAACCCAATATTGGTTTAGGAGATAGAAGAAAAGGCAATTCTGGGCTTGGCACCTGATAAAGTAAAAGTTCCTGGAACAGATGGATCTCTAGCTTGTTTTTATACAACATTTCAGAAAAAGGTGGCACTAATCCTGGAAAGGGTCTTCCTTCAACCAATACAGCAAACAAACAAACCTCAAAAACAAGAAAGAACAAAAAAATCCCTCAGGCATTAAAACACTCTTACTTACCAAGATACTTAGAAAGGCTAATGCAAGTGATAATTATGGAATCTTTCACCTTGTGTGTTTGCTAAATATAGAATGGATGCACAATCTCACCAGCACGATTAGTCACTAGGCTTCATTATCTCACACCCGTTCTCATTAAAAACATGAAAGAGAGATTTACAGCTCCCAAGTCTCTGCTTTGGGTTTTATCACCTATCTCCTTTTCTTTATATACAAGGATTTACATCCTCCATTTCAGTAAGAAGCTATCACCATCAGGCATTGTAGGGAAACTGGGCCCACAGAAAGAAGACTATGCCAGAGTTACTCACCATCATTTCTCTTGGGTTTAGGGCTTCACTAGAGGATCTGTTATATTGAGCACTCATCCTGATTTCCCTCCACAAACCCAATGCAGAGGTTAGACCAGGGGCTGCCAGCCTTTTGGGGCCACTGGGCACATTTGGAATTTTGATAAAGTGCTATAGGTGACGGTCACAAAATGGCTCCAATGGGGGTACAGCATTACACAAAATGGCTGCCACATCCAAAGGAGCAGAAAAAGAGACAGGGCTACAAAATGATGAAGGTGGGCTTTTCAAATCCAGTGACTCTGTTAACAAAAAGGAGCCATAAAAGACACCCGCTATGCTAAGCTTCCTTGGTCAACGTTTGGTATTCATTCTAAACTATGAATATCACTCTGTTCCAGTTGGTCACTGCAACTAAAATTGTAAACCTAAGCTCAGGGACTGCCTTATTAATGATATTTGTGACACAGCCTCAGAGCCTTTAAATGGCTGCAGAGTGGGATGAAAAATGATAATCAAAAAAGGGGGATAAACCCCCTGTCAGATATGGTGAAATGATCTTGCTGCTGATTTTTGTTTTCTTTTGTCATTTTTGTGTTTTTCTGGGTGGGGTTTTTCAAATGGTTTGACTGAAAAGGGTTTTACTGAAATGTTTGCCCTTTGGGTTGTAGCCTTTTTGTAAGTTGCTTGGAGACTTTTATGGCAGGCATCTAGTAAGTCAAATAAATAGTATTTGACTTACTCGATGCCTATAGTAACAATAGTAACAACCAATAGTAACAACCAAGAATCCACAGTCTTTGCCTGCTATGCAAGACATTTTATTTTACAGTACCTAGCACAAATGCTTCACTCACTTTGTTATAATAATACATAGAGCATAGTTAAGTCATTCACAATAATTTACTGAATGTGAGCAAGAGAGAAGAAAATTCTTTTTACTTTTGTGGCCTGCAGATAGATACAACATACAATCTTTTTCTCTATGGAAAACTACAGCCCTTTCCTCTTATTCTGAAATGTTTACTTGAAGCTACACCAATCCCTTTATTTATTTATATTTTAAAGAATGTGTGTATGTCAAAAACTCATAGAAAATAACAATGTGTCCAACAATATATACAATGATACATAAAAACACAATAAAAAGAAGAAACATGAGAGACATTCAACTAAGTGTGTACAAAGTTTGTGCTTGAAGCAACAGAGAGAGATGTGTATTTTAAACCTTGTTTTAAATAATCTGCTCATTACCCAGAGAACTGTGTTGGGAGAGAGGAATTAATACACCTTCTACTTATTTATTTCTTTATTATATTTATTTAATTTTACATTTTATTACATTATTTTTTATTTTTTTTACAATCGGAATACTGAACAATAATGGGAAGCCATTTTGATCAGAATTGTTCAACTAGATATTGTGCAAGTAGAAAGATGTGACTTTAATAGCATCATAACACAAATACTAAATAGCAATAATTTATTATTTATATGCCACCCATCTGATTGGGTTCCCCCAGCCACTCTGGGTGGCTTCCAACAAATTAAAGCACAATATGTCATCAAACATTAAAAACTTTCCTGAACAACAAATTCAAAAAGTGAAGCTTTTTCCTACATAAAAATGACATGTGCAAACTTTGTATTACATGGCTGCTATTCAGCTGCTGAAAGTGTAGGACTCTGGGCAGAGAAGAATAAACAAAACTGGCAGAGAGACACCAAGCTGAAACAGAGGTGGAGAGAACTAGCTCAGAAAAAATCAAATAAAAAATAAGATGGCTTAAGATAGTGATCCAGTCAACATACATCCACCTCTTAGAAAACTCTTGGAATATATTCAGTTCAGAAAGAGATAAATATGCACTTCTGAGATTAAGAGGTAGAGTGGAAAGAAAGACCCACCAATATGCAAGATGAATCAGATCCCCAGTTGCCTCAGACCTTCTGAGTTCAAAGCTTAGAGAATTATGACTAGAGAGTAAGGGGCTGCAGAAGACCACAATCCGGAAGGTAGGAGGCAAGTAGGGCAGTAAACTGAAATAAGAGGAGGAAAGCTTAAACTGCAATTACAAGGAAAGCCTCCAAGCATTAAGTGTGGTTATAAAAAACACAGATTGCACAGAAATTGTAAGAAATCGTAATATTCAGGGTACATGGAAATTAACAGATTGGCCCAGAAATAAATTTGGAAGTGGACTGGGGACTAGTTATGTTTGAACACCCCCTATGTTTTCTACACACAAACAGTCCTCAAGAGCATGGTTTTCCCTTCTGAGGTTGTGGTATCATGCACACTTGTAATAAGCTCCAAATCAAAATGCATAGGATTTACCTGTAAGGCAGAATCCCACCATGAAATTACCTGGCTACCAAAAGGGAAGAAGTCCTCATAGCTTATTTTTCTTCCAAACTGACCTTATATACCGGAAAGTTGATAAAATAAATTCTGGCAGTATGCATCCAGTACCCAACTATTTGAGTGCAAGAGCTTTATCCTGCAGACCAAGAGCATAGAGACAAAGTGGTATTTGAATGATGAAGCTGCATGCATTCTGCTGAAATGTATGGTGCTCTTATCTACACAGACCCAGAAGCTATCTTGTCCTTCTGGAGAAATGAAACGTTTGATGCATAACGTTTCCTGGGCACTTAATTCATGTTGCCTGAACTTGCTATGCATTGTAATATCTACCTGCAGACTGCTAAA